TGTCTCTTATACACATCTAGATGTGCATAAGAGACAGCTCTAACTCCACCCCTGATAGCCTTTAATGATTCTATCAAGTGGCATAGTATGGATATCTCTTATCATTCCTTTCATTTGTAATAATGGGCTGAATTATTCAATGATTAACTGGTTTATTTTTTAAGTTGAATCAACCAAACACAGGTTGTACCCTCATAAAAATAAGGTACCAGTTATTATTGCCTAATAAATTATGGTTATGAATATATCACCATTTCCATATGCCAGATAATTCTAATTTCCAATTTAAATTCATATGTATTCATGAATGAATGAATTTTGTTTATTTTTTAATTAATGGTTATGGTGTCAAGTTATTTAACAAGTGAACACAATATGCTATTGCCCGGTTTTATTATATATTGTGAAAAGGTCATTTATAAATTCAAAAATATCAAATAGGCCTATCAATACTTTACTAAGCATGTGTATTTTTGTGTTGTAGAAGCGTATTCACTTCAATATTTAATACAGTAGCTGGCCATTTTACTTTATAAAGAAACCATTTTCCTGGGAACTAAGGCAATCAGGGTGAATCAAATAATACACTAATGTGAAACAGTGAGGGCTCCCTATAGTGTTTTGATTCGAAAGATATACGGTACATGCATGAGAAAGGCTCAGTAAGATTTACCAGTTTATAGAGCTGATGTATTGTGATAACCTACGTAAAATGAAGAATTGTAGTTGATTATTTAAGGACTGTTGGTAGAATAATATTCATATTGTCTCAAACTGTGAGCTGCTCTTTAATTATTATCATAAGTCAAGTCATAATCTGTAAAACAATACTTTGTAAAATAACAGATGTTTATAAGTGATATGATTCTTAAGGAAACTTCAAAGTAACAGTTTCTCTTCAGACTATGATCTAAGCATTGGCTTAGGCCTACTGGGTTTCAAGAAAACGTGTAAAGTGATTTGGAAATTTGTATTTATAAAAAAATATTCTGTGTGATCCGTGTTGCAATTCTAACTAAAAATTGTAAAAGTTAACCGAAGTTGCAAACCCAAAATAAATTACAGCAAGAGTTGCAAATCTAAAGCTATATGAGTTGTATTCCCAAAGCAAGCTTCTGCAAGAGTTGCAAAATGTAGAATCAGAGTTGTAATTTCATTGGAACACAGTCCTTTAAATCTGCTTATTATTATGACCTTGTGTAAACTGTACCAACTGCTTTGGTTCTTATTTAGATTGGCAAAACTGGCCATGTTTGGTTTTGTCAAGGTTTACCGTATTATAATTGGTAGCAAGTAGAAAGAAATCGGCCTTGGTGTTTTTTTTTTGTTACAGTTCATCCTTTAATATAGACGGTAGATCGTCTGCTATAAATTATAAACAGAGCATTTCAAGTGCTCATAAAGCTGATCAGATGTTAATGCATTCAATTCTTGTTAAAATTTGTTTCTAGCGAAATAAAATCAGCCTCTTTTGAGGTCATCCGTAATATTTTTCAGTCTTGGTGGTTTTTTTTTTTTTTTTTTTTTTTTTTTTTTTTTTTTTTTTTGGGTTCTAAGTTAGGAGAAGCAGGGAGCCTGGTTTTAATACTATTTTTTAAGCATATTTTTCTGTCTATGAAAATTCCATGACCATGTATTTTTTTGGGGGGGGGGGTGGTATCCCTGGTCATTGTTGCTTGAATGCGCATGACCCATACATTCAATGCCATACCATCCTACCAGGTACCCATTTATATACTCCTGGGTGGAGAGAGGCAAACGTAAGTAAAGTGCAAACATTTACAAAATTACTGAAGTTAGGGTTAATAAATCCGTAGAAGTTGCTGAGAAAACATACCAAATCTGGTATTAATTGCATCACAATCCCAGACAGACGAAACTACACGTGATAAAGAAAAAATTCTTGATGTTGAAGATATTGGGAGAACCTAGGTATGGTTAACGAAGATTTTGTTTTACATGTTTAACGGGCAGTTAAGGAGTTAACGAAAATTAGATATAATGCTGATAATGAAAACGTACTCTGTGTCAGTAATATTGACCTTGAAATAGTTACTGAGGCACTTTCAATTGGCAAAAATAATCAAGCGCTGGTAGCGAGTAGATATCGCCATCATTGGTTAGTTTATTTAACAAAAATTTAGTTCTTGTGTCTAAATTTTTTAAAAGAGTTGAGTAGTAGTTGTTGTTGATATACATATCTTGTTTCCTTGGGAAAAAAGAAAATATACTTTCGGTCCAGGGAAATACTGATCGTATCACACCCAGCCTTCCTGGACTTCCGAAAAGCTTTTGATAGCATATGCCGAGATGGTCTCCTAAAATCCGCTTAGAATGCAGGGATACGAGGGAAAACTTGGACAATTACGGTACAAAGCTCATTTTTAAAGTAAAAGTAAAAGTTGGTGAAAATATGACAGATGAGATATCTATAAAGGACAGGGGTGGCGCCAGCGGAGGTGGTGGAGGGGGGTGGGGAAGGGCTCCCGTCGGAGAGAAAAACCACAATTCGTCGGGGAGAAAAAAAAATATGTATTTTTTACATACGGTATAAGTAAACTCTAAAAATCGATTAAATAAGCCTTTGAAACCCAAATGTCAAAATTTCCGGGGGCGCCTGGACCACTCTCGAAACATTTTAAGCGACGCTCGTCCACGCCCACTTTGCTCTGGTCGGGACCTCGGACTGCCACCCCCCCCCTGCCCCCCCCCCCCCCCACCCCGGCGGTCAAATCCTGGCGCTATCCCTGATAAAAGAGTCAAACAATGGTGCGTACTTTCTCCAATTTCATTTTCAATTTTTATTAACAAATGTGTTCGCTTCTTCGCGAAAGTAATTTGGCAGTAAGAATGAATGGTATTTGGAGGGAGGGCTCTTTTAGTAGGCAGGGGAATGAACGGGAAATTACTGAAATGTTACAAATTGCCAATAGTTTTTTGCTAAGGAATGGAAATTAGGTTTCAACCATGATAGATTAGATCATGGAGGCATGATTAGATGTTATGGTCGTTGCAAAAACGCATAAAGATAAAAAGTGGAAATTAGAGGACAATAAGGGAGGTAAATATCTATAATATTTAGGCGTCTATATTTTATCCAATTCAAGTGAACATACACATTATGAGCATGTCATTCAAAAGGGAAAAGTCTTATAGCTTATATTAAAGGTATATGGCTAACTTTGACGACTTCAACCGGGTGTATTATGGAGATATGTGAAAGACATATGACTTTGAAAACCTTCAGGAGCTGCAATTACAAATGGCCTGTTTCTTGCTTAAAGCACCACGGATACGCACCCTCTATGGAGATCTTGAATGGGTTCCCCTTTCACAACTTCGAGATTGCAAGAGCAAAATTATTTAATTGATGGATGATTGCAGATGGCCAAACGTTGTACTTCACTCAATGTTAAAACTCAATTGTGACTTCGATCAAATTAGTATTGATACATTTGCAAAACATGCAGATATATATGGCCTACACTTTCATAATCATGTAATTGATACTGTCAATTTTACATTGAATTCTTCTTCTGTCAGTTCTGTAGAAACGTTGTGTGTAAGAATCATATAAATCAGAGTAGGCCTAAGTCGGAAAACTTTACTTCATGAAATTCAAAATTAAAATATAATCCAAAACTTGCAAAAATAGGCCTACTTACATGATCTTTTTTTTTTGTATCATTCCAGCCTAACGTTTTAACTTCGATCCGATACTCCTTTTGATTGTCTAAATGGTCTAAAAGTCCTGGTTCCTAATTAATTTGTTTGAAGGGCCAAGTTATTTTAGAGTTGATCTCCGGGCCCAAAAATTATCTCCGCCGAGTTTATACATCTGGGGAAACTCCGTAAGCCTAAGATAGGGCTAAGGTTAGTAATTTCAAATTACACTTTTAGGCCTAATTGTAGTACACCAGCGGTCGGGTTGGGTCATGATCCAAAATAGGGTCGTGGGAAATTTCTGTGGGGACGTTTATTTAACGCCTATTTTGGTCAGTACACTGAGAGAAAATTCCCTGATATTTTCGAATAGTATACCACAGGGTTTCGTTTGTCCACTTGCGCTGTTGAACACAAGACTATACAGCTTAACATGCGAGTGTGATGTGTATTTTACGGTATTTTATGTTGTGTAGGCCTATTCATATAATAAATTTGTTTGTTTAGTCAACTTTGTTGGGTCGCTTTATCAATGTAATTGTTCGCAATACAAAAGCCTACGCTAAGATCATACTTAGAGTCTGACTTTTGTTTTTTTTAAATAAAAAAACGTTTTCCGCATGTACACATACGCATTGACACTGTCTTTTGATACACCATGGAGGAATTAGTTTCGTCTAAACTAATTCCTCCATGGATACACCAACACAATTTGAAAAGTAAAGAATGCTATTGACAAATCACAGGACAAAGCAAATCACAGAGACGGAACCAGCCGCAACAAAAGTCGGAGTAATGCTAAATCTGTATAACTTAAAAAGAAGGTTATAGACGAAACAAAGTGAGCAGAACAAAACAAAAGTCTTGTATACCTTTGTATGCGTGTGTTTGCTTGTTTGAAGAGAACTGTTCTTTGGTTCACTAACTTTATATTACCATATAAAATTAAGTACGAATAATATTATTATTAACTTTTTATTACCATATAAAATCAAGCGAATAAAACAACGATAAAAGCTGAGCTCAGAATACCAATTGGGAGTTTTTGTTTTTGTTTTTTGTTGTTTTTTTTTTTATTTCATAGTTCTGTTTACAGGGTTTGCTTGTTTGAAGCACAAACAGACCATGGGAAACACACAGTGATCGATTTTTGGGGCTATTTATTCAATTTATGGATTGCATCATCTTGCTTATTTTCAAATTATCCCCGTGCACATTACCCAGGGTCTGCATTTTCTGTCTGTTTTTTTTTAATAGGCCTACTTAATTTGCTTATTTTTACTTTTGCTTTTTTAAGCCTATAAACTCCAAGACTCAATACTGAAGTAATTTATTGCAAATTAAAATAAAACAATTTGGATCTCATACAATGGGTAAAATTCTTTAAAAAATTGTGAAAACATTTATGATTAAATGACCAAAGTTACCTAAAAATCCATTTCTAGTTGAAATGTGGCCAATATGCCCATTGTGCACGTTAAAGAACACAGTAGCCTACACTCTTCGGAAAAGAATAGGGCATACTTGGCCCGCACCTCTTTTCCACATAGGCCTAACTGATATCCACACCAAGTCTCTAGCACCACGCGACTATTTGCAGATGACGGTCTTGTTTGTAGACAAATCCAATGGATTTCCCCGACGGTGGGTGGGGGGTGGGGAGGTCACCGACTCCCCGACGAGGGGCCAGATTCCCCTGACGAAAGCCTAAAAAGTACTGAATCAAGGTCAATTGTCAATCAATATTGTATGGGCAATTAAAGCATAGGATTTTCTATAAACTACTGAAAGGGCATTCCGAGACCATTGTCTTGGTCAGTGCAAGTGTAGGCCTATTTTATGTACGGTACTGTAATACTGAAGCCAAGGCATGTGCATTAGTAACGCCTTTAGAACACCTAAATTGATCCAGTCTAATTTTGACACGTATTTGGGTCCAAATGCAATTTCCAATATCTCCAATCTACTTACATTCTATTGAAATTAATGATATTGGTCCTAGGTTAGGTTGGGTTAGTTTATCTGTTCTATTTTCTCTATGGTTTATTGATCAGAGGGCCGGGCTAGGCGTGCTTTTGATATGCGCTTATTACACACGTATTGATAAAAACAACAAAAAGATTTTCAAAATCAGGCCCGGGATTTATCAATCTCAGCTTACCAAATGTAAAGTCAAAGTAGATAATATGTTCCTAAGCAAATATTTTAAGCTGATTTATCAAACCATCTTAGCAATGCGTAGTTAACTTTTTAATTTTAAGCAATTTTTGAACTAAACAATATTGATAAATCTGAATTAAGCAAAAAATTGACTTAAGACGAATTTAAGCTGATTTCTGGTTTGATAAATCCGGACCCAGGCCTGTGAAACAAAGGGAGGGGAAGGGGGCCTCACCCTTTTCTAAATTTCAAAATTTCTACCTTGTTATTTTCTAACTTACTCTTTACTAAAATCGTTCCAATTATATTGAACTGCCACACAATGCATTTCATTTTTAATTTTTTTAAATTTTATTTTGCATTTTATTTTTAATAACTGTGGTACAAAATTTGTTGGAAATTGATCAGCTCCGGCGATTGCAGATCGATTCATATGAACTAAAAGCTATGTTATGTGAATGAGCAAAGTCATATTGTGAAAAGTATGCCTAACACATCCAAAATTACTCCCCTGCAGCTATGTTGGACTTTCTCCTGAAATAAAGGGTGGGCCCGGAAAGTAGTTTAAATGCTTTTTTGCAACATATTTCTTCATTTGTTATTTATAATAATTTATTATTGTTTTTAATGGTTCTAAAAATTCTAAAAAAGAAAATTATGGTTATACTCGTTGAGGATGTTTGATTTTTAGATATGTACATATCGTCGTTATTAATACTGACCACATTGATCGTGCTTGGGTAAGACTTATACCATTTATCTTACTCCACCAACCAATGATGGTTTAAAAAATATCTGTATCTTTCGACAGGCTTGTTGCCTGTAAGTACTTTATTGCAAGTTGGTCATCCACATTTTGTCGGTCGCCCTTGCGGTATAGGTACGGTATAAGTGATAAACAACTGAATGTAAATCAAAGAAAATTTATACATTTTGAATATAATTATGTTTATTGATCAAACATTTGTTCAAAAACAACTTAAAGGAAAACAAACAAATGTACAAATTGATTAAGATAGGCCTAAATATCTGCATAAAATGTATCAAAATTTTTCAGTAAAAAAAGTATAATTACATTTTTAATCACCTTTACAGTTATCAGAACTACAACGAATAATTATATTGTTACAGGTTTTAGTAAAATTTCAGTTGTAAATTAATTTTATCGTTATGTGTTTAGTTTAATATACACAATATCAGTTGTTTTCACTGCGTTACAAACATATCATTGCACATGAAAACTTCCAGCGCATTCCACCTGCTATTCCTTTAAAGCTATGCATTTAAAGTTGTCACTTTTCAACGTTTGTGTGACGTGTGGTAGCAAAATTCGCTTTTGTGCGTTATACAATTACATAAATTTGCCTTAAAACTGTCCTATCGAGTTTGGATTTGTTATACAGTGCACAATGGCGGACAATTCGTGTCAACAACAAGTACTTGGTCGATTGGAGTCTTAGGTACAATCAGTGACCGGGCATTTCCATATATGGCTAACTGGCTTCTCATACCATTCTGTTGATTTTCACCGTCAACATAATATCTAAAATTACTTATTGCAGGTCTACCAAGTTGTTGTTCGTATAGAGGTGATAGGCCTACCTCGTTACTATGAAGAACCTGAAAAACATCGAGGGTGCTTAGCGGCGTAAGTTCACCTACTTGAAGCGGTACGCTTTCGTTTTTCCAAATGGAAACCGGGACAGCTTCTGGAGGTGAAGGGTAAAAATCTTCCTTGTATGGAGACAATTCTCCAGGTAAAACCTCTCCGGAAATTGCGGTTTCCCATAAAGCGGTCTCGCTTCTATCTGACGATTCAAAATTAGATTTTGTATAAATATAATGATCTTGGTATAATACGGAGGAGTCGCTGTCCGTCAGCGAAACTGACTCCGCTGAGGTGAGATTTGCAAAAGACGGATCATTGAAAACAACATTGTCCTCAGGTGCCGATACTGACGTCACCGAAGCAGGCGATTCAGGTGGCGAGATCTGTATTTGTGGACCAGGATTGAGAGCACGCGGCGATATTGTGTTTTTCTCAATTTGAACAATTTTTTTAAACTTTGGACGCACGGAATATTTTTGTCCAGCCGTACGCAATGAGGAGTTACGTCTTTTCTGGCGTTTTTGTAGCAACTCTTCAAATCCGTCAGCTAAAGTCCATCGTGAACAGCCACGAGCATCCAACTCATATCCAGGTAAGCGTTTAAATAGTTCCTTCTGAACTGTTAGATTGTGGCGTACAGAATTCTTCCAATGCATTCTGTTTTCACAATAAAATGGATATTTACTCGTTATGAATTCGTATATTTCTGGAAGTGAAGCACTGTAACTACTGCTGGATTTAATAGCTTTCGCAATCATTTGGGCATAACTTTCCATTGGCCTACCGTGTGAATCACTGTTTTGTTTCGGTAGGCTTTCACCAACACCCAGCTGTATGGCGACATTTTCCTTAGAGGACTGCAGATTTAGCGGTAAATTCAAATACTTGTTATCCCCCATAGCATCGTCTGTCTTCGATTTTTCTGCTGTTGATGACATGACTCTCAAATATCAAACATACAATGTCAAAAGTTGTTTAAAAAAAACCACTAGTATCAACGCCGTCCACTTCTTGCACACAATATTCCCAACGGCCAAACTGTATACGGTACTGATCTATAGTAAACTATGTGTTGTGGTCAAACGGGCGAAATATCTGATGACGTCAGTTGTCACGTGTCGTGATTCAGTCTTAGAATACACGTGTGTACTTAATAACATAAGAAATATTAATGAGATTAAGTAGTATCAATTCTATTGAATCTTTTTATAGGTCAGATCATACAGATCGAAAATTGATTCATGTTCATGTTGTATTTTAAAGAATGGAAACCAACTAGGCCATAAGTTTTTATTCCTATTATAATATAATACAGACTAATTAAAATCGTACCGCCACAATCATCACTGACTACGCTCTAGATTACGCATGAGCCATCACATCAATAGAAAACATTATGTCGTTGCCAATTGTTTCTTGAAATCGAATAGAGCTGTATCTTGGTGGTTTTCAATTCCAGGGGTGAAGTGTCAAGTTAATTTTTTTAATTAAAAATATGTACTGTAGTAAGATTAATTAAGTACTTATGAAGGTTTTCACAACTTCTGTGATCTCGGTATTGAAGAGCGAGCGTTTAGTTGCAAAGTTTCACAATCAAATTGGTACTATTACGTCAGTTTGCCCTCTAATTAGTGATAATTATCTTTGGGACCTAAAATTGGTCATCATTTCCTGATGGTGACATAATTAATGTCGAAATATTGAATCCCAACACGATGGCGTGCATTTCAATACTTGGAGTATGTATTATACTTTCTAAAATTGGTGGGGTATTGGTATGCAATCACATGTTACCTCTGTGTTTGAACAAGTGGTCTGGAATTGGAAGGGGTCTCAGAATTAAAGGGGTCACGAATTGGGGTTTTCACTGTGTGAACTTATAGGTGAATTGCTAAATTTTGAAGGCTCAAATTTGACAACTGCAGTGGAAAATATAATATTAACATTAATTGTTTTTTAAATTTATATGAAAGATATGTAGCAAGCTTAATAAAGGAAGGCCTATGTAAACATTTCCTTATTAAAAAAAACTTAATTTTACTTATTTTGAAAGTTACAATGTAAAAAGCATAAAATGTCAAAAAGGAAATTGCAGTTTTGTTTGGAAACATTCTTAATTTATTCATCACACTGACAATGATATTAACCGAAAGGTCCACTGATTAATCTCAGATAAGATAGTATAATACATACCGTACTCCAAGTATCGAAATGCACGCCATCGTGTCGGGATTCAATATTTCGACATTCTTATGTCATCATCAGGAATGAAAAATTATCCGTATTTGCAATGAGATTAATTTTTGTATTCGTTATTTACGTATTTGTATTGTTATTTATTTGTATTCGTTATTTACAAGCACTTATACGCGCATTTACGGTACTTGCAGATCTAACGCCCAGACAGTTTTTCTCATACACCAAAGTGGGTGTGGTCGAGCTTCGATTAATTAAACATAATCTTTTCTTTGCTTGTGATAGGTTGTGTGTTGTTCTGAGCATTTGTTTCAGTTCAATGTTTATGCATAGTTTTGTGCCTCAGAATCTTACTAAAGTCACTCTTGTTCCCACAATTAAGTCGAAATCTGGTGACATTACTGATAAGAGCAATTATAGGCCTATCGCACTGGCGTGTGTAGCATCTAAACTTCTAGAGTCAGTTATGATTAAAAACTGTGATGATACATTATGTTCTAATGACAATCAATTTGCCTTTAAACCGGGACAATCTACTGACCTATGCATATTTGTGCTTAAACAAATAATTGAATATTACAATAATAACGGTAGCCACATTTGCTGTTGTTCCTAGACGCTAGCAAAGCGTTCGATAAGGTCAACCACTTCAAGACGCTGGTTGAACGAGGTACCCCCACCCCTGTTATTCGAATCCTTCGATCATGGTATTGGTCGCAGGAGTTTGTTGTCAGGTGGGGTAGCTGCATATCTGATCCTTTCTCCGTTAGGAACGGAGTGCGTACTTTTACTTTTAGATAATGCTAAAGTTGGATGTGAATTAAACGGTACTAAAATCAATTGTTTAAGCCATGCTGATGATTTGTTACTTATGGCTTCATAGCAGCAGGGTACGAAGTCTTATTGATATTTGTGATACATTTGCTAGTGATTATGATATCACGTTTAATGAGTCTAAATCTAAATGTATGATAATCTGCAAGGCGATCCTCGTATTACACTTAAATCATACCCTTATTTGTTAACTCTATTACCTACCTTGGTCACAGTTTCAGTTTTTATTGGCACACATTTTACAATAGTGGCACACACTAATCAGTGGTGCGTCCAAACTTACTAATCAAAAAAACAATACAGTCAAATTGAACAAAAGTAAAATTGGAAACGCAAAGGTAAACAGAAAAATCAGGATATTTAATAAATAGTAAAAAAAAAGAAAAAACCTCCTAGAAAATCCTAATAATATGCAGTATAAGCGTACAGTATAATTGTACTTAATACATACACATACATATGAACATATTACATATAAATACACACACATAAATATACACATTCATATATATATACATGCATGCATATACACACATACACATACATATAAATACACATATATATAAACACACACAGTACACCACACACACACACACACATATATATATAAATATGTTACAAACAATAACCTAAGCGATGAGTGTAACATTAAACGTCAATACCGTTCGATATGTATAAGAGCTAACTCCCTCAGTAGGAAATTTGGTAAATGCTCTATTACGACTAAATGGTTCGTAACCTGCAAGGCGAGCCTCGTATTACACTTAAATCATACCCTTTGTTATTTGTTACTCTATTACCTACCTTAGTCACGTTATAAACAATAACCAAGCGATGAGTGTGACATTAAACGTCAATACCGTTCGATATGTATAAGAAATTTGGTAAATGCTCTATGACGACTAAATGTTATTTGTTTAAATGCTACTGTGTTAGTATGTATTGTTCTACTCTTTGGTGTAGATATAACAAAGGTACTATAAGATCGTTAAAAGTCTGCTATAATAATGCCCTACATTTATTACGGCGACAACCGAGGCACTGTAGTGCGAGTTTTATGTTTGTATCCAATGGAGTACCGTCCATTGACGAGTGTCTTAGAACTCTATACATAGTTTCAGGAACCGTGTGAAAATCATCTCTAATTCAATCATTTTGGCCATTAAGCATTATGCTCTTTCCAATTCTAAAATGTATAATCAGTGGAAAATTGTCGCACATTAAGATGATATCCTGATCTTGATGTTTTTCTTGACTCAGTGTATTTTTCACTTTTGTCTTATATTTATATGTATTTGTATTGGCTTTACTGTTGTTCTTTTGTATGGACATGAAATTCCGAAATAAAAGATGAATTAATGAACGAATTAATATTATTATTATTATTATTATTATTGTTATTATTATTATTATCATTTATTTATTTATTTAGACGCATAAAATCATGCACTAAGAATAGTTAATAGCGAATGACTGTGCTACTTGTGACAAGCCCTTACACAAGACAAACATACACACATGATGCTTTACACAAACTTAATCTCACTATGAGGTTTAGGGAGTGGGTCGTTGTATTAGTCGTGAGAAAAATATCCTGCAACCCTGACAGGAATTAAGCCCAGGATAATTGGAAAGCAAGCATCTTAACCACCAAGCTATTCAACTCCACTCTTATTTTCTATTGGCATTCTGCAGTGCGAAAAAAAAACCGCTGTTTTCTATCTAATCGGCACTGCCAAGTGCCAAAAAACATCAGTTTTCTATCGGCACTGCCAGTCGAAAAGTTGATTGTTTAAAAGAAATTGATGTTTTGATCAATAGATGAATACATTATTGTATCAATAATTGATAGCACTAGGCCTATATTGATTATTATTATTATTATTGGTCATACTAATTAGCGTCGAAAACCGTCAACAACCGTTAAAGTATTGTTTGAAGGCTTGCATGGCTAAAGTAATAATAATTATATAATTGTTAATGCTTGCGGCACGCTACGTAGATAGTTCTGAGAAACAGTTGGTTGTTGAGAATGTTTCGACGTTTCGATAGAGTGGCTTCGAAGTACTTATGTTTGGGTAGTGAGGCTTGCTGCTGATTCGTGGAAAACTAAACAATAACTGAGATACAATATCAAATTCAGGATTATCACAAACACAATTGTTATAAATAAAGCGATGACATCCTACAAAAAAAAACAAAAAAACATTTTTACAAACATTAACATGTGAAAATTTTACATTTAAAATAGGTTTAGAACGAAGTCTATGAACTGGAACATAAAGATAAAAATTAGAAACAATATTACAGGTAAACGTAGAGTTAAAAAAGTTATATAAAAAGTAGGTCATTAATTTGTCTTTTAATTTTAGGAGAAATAATACGAGTTTGGCAAGTCCAACAGCGTAAAAACTTATTGTGGATTCTTTCACTTCTAAAAGATTGTGTGTTAGATATTGAATCGGTCCGTGTGGTATTTACCCACCACACTGGAAACGATGCCATTGTTTTGGCTTTCCTTTCACTAAGCTAGAAACAATGCCACTGTCTTGGCTTTATAGCCACGCCCCACCCGTATGCACATACTGTGTCTTTTCACATGTAGTCTCAGTTACTGTTTAGTTTTCTACCAATCAGCAGCAAGCCTCACTACCCAAACATAAGTATTTCCCTATTTGGAATTTTCTGCAGATATTATTCTCCTGAAGACGATCGAAGCCACTCAATCGAAACGTCGAAACATTCTCTCAACCAACAACAGTGTTTCTCAGAACTATCTACGTAGCGTACCGCAAGCATTAATAATTATATATTATTACTTAGCCATGCAAGCCTTACAATACTTTGATAGTTTTTATTGACGGTTTTCGACGCTAATTAGTATGACCAATAATAATAATTATTATTATTAATATAGTGCTAGACCTAATCAATTATTGATACAATAATGTATTCATCTATTGATCAAAACATCAATTTCTATTAAACAACAACTTTTCAACTGGCAGTACCGATAGAAAACTGCAGTTTGTTTTTTTTTCTTTTTTGCCACTGTGGCAGTACCGATTAGATTAAGCAGTAGTTTTTTCGCACTGCGGAATGCGTATAGAAAATAACAGCTTTTTTTTCGCACTGTTCCAATGCCGATGGAAAATAGCATCTTTTATTCGCACTGCGGCAGTGCCGCTAGACACTGCCTGATGTAAAAGCTTAACACATTGAAAGCATGAATTATGTGGATAATATCCTTATAGAATTTACAATAAAACTTATAATTGTATGCCAAAACCTAAGTAGGCTATATGATTATGAATAACCATGGAGGAATGAAATAACATATTTTCCTATTTGAGCACTGATGTTATTGTCCTTATTTTATTTATTTATTATTTTTGTTTGTTTTATTTTGTATGTATATAATGGCCTAGGCCTATATATATATATATATATATATATATATTATATATATATAAAACTATAAATAATCGTAATTAATTGTAATAATTAGTATGCCAAAGCCTAAATATAGGCAATATGATTATGAATACAGGCTCACATAATTGTTTAAACGCTTCAATCATTGAAAACATGAACTGTGAGGATTAAATTATCATAGAATTTACGATAAAAACTTATTTTTAAGATTATTTTTTTGAACAGAATAAAATAGATAAAACTTTCATTTAAGGAAACAGGTTTTGCATAGACGTAATTTGAGTTGCCATCTCATTAATCAAACTATCGTAAATAGGCCTGTTATCAAAGGCCTGCGGCAGTGACGATAGCCACAGCCAAAAACCACACGAAATGGATTGGAATCAAGAATAATATTAATATGAAATATTTGAAATTGAAAACCAAGAAAGAGAAAAGGGATTTAAAAATAATGTATATCTCAATGCAGTTAGGCTTTTGACAAAAAAACAATTTGTTGTCTACCATTAATTTCGCAATACGCTGTATTATTCGCACAAAATAAATTAGAAATTGCGTGATTTGTTCATTAAAGGCAGAATAGGCTATACTAACTTCTGAGTCCAGTTATAAACCTGGGAGCTTGTAGATCTACTCTACAAACTTCTTGAGTCAAACCGGTAAGAATAATCCCCTGTAAGACATACTTTTTTAAAAATTGTTATATATCGGGGGAAACCCTGCTGGGATCGACGAGGAAGAGCTCAGGCATTTTTGATAATTTTAGATTTTTGAAAATGCATGTATTTACACGGTTTTCAGTGGCAGATCCAGGAATTTGAAGCGAGGGCCTTCATAGATGGAGGAGATACCTCAGCCCCACCATGGTTGAGGCTGAGGGAAGAAAAGTTATGATTATGGCACCTCCAAATGGCCCTAAATTGCACTCTCATACAAGTTTAGTATCATTATTATTCTTTTTTCCCCATTTTTTTTATTTTGAAAAAATTGGGGGGTGGGGGTCGGGACGATTGGGCTTCCTTTAATCCGCCACTGTCAGTGGCAGATCTAGGAATTCGAACTAAAGGGGGAAAGGGAAGGACTTCACAGATTGAGGGTCTATAACATCTCAGCCCCACCATGGTTGGGGCTGAGGTAAGAAAATTTATGATTATGGCACTCTCAGACTTAAATTTTAATTTAATTTTTTTTTTCTTTTTTTAAATAAATTTGATTAATTTAGGGGAGGGCACCACCACTGGAAATAATTGAGCACAGTCTACAAGCACAGATGTATTTGGGAAAATGTCATCATCCCATTCTATGATTCCTCCATCGCTGCTGCTGCTGTGGAAGGACGTTGGTTAGAGGATCCAGAGCTTCATTGACAATCGCACAATAACCTTATTTATTTGTCTAGACAATCAATAATCTTTCTTTATTGATTTTGACGTTTCTTTGTGTACTACAGTATATATTTCGTGCTGACATTCGCCACGGCGAACGATGCGAAGGTCTAAATCCACACCTACTGTATCAAGATGATTTCCAAGCGAGAATAAAGATGATTTTAGTGAAACCTAGGAGGAAGATGAGTTTATACGAGGTGAATCATTGACACGTAAGCAGCGGAGAAAACACTTAAATTTCTTTAAAAGCTTATATAAATTCAGTCCTAGTTGGAAACTGCTCTGATTGGTCAAGGAGTTTTGGTGGATGGATGTGCGAGAGCACCCGTCCCCCTTCTGCGTAGGGCCTGGTATGTCTTGTTAAAATGTCATTAACATGGTTAAGAAGCTATAAGTTATATCCTGGGGCTGATAGGCCTATTATTTATAATTTTTAGAAATGATTCACCAAATCATATGTCTGAGTGTTGCATAAAATTATGTATAGCCTACATGATAGGCCTACTGGAATTTAGGCTATTATGACTCTCACAGGAGTCGAGTGGCCGAGCAGTAAATGATAGGGGCGCCGCTAACATCGGTTCGGTTCGAGCCGCTCCTCGGCAAGGGTTCGGTTGGTAAGCTAATTCATCCATGGTAGAACCAGATCTTCTCGGATAAGGAAGACGATGAGATGATAGCTCAAAACCAAAGGCTAATCGATTAGGCCTCGTTAGGCTAGGTCTTGTATTGTATCAAACTAGCCGCGTAATGAAATTATAAATCAAGGCTACGAAATAAGTAAATAGTCTTTAAGAACACAGATTTTGTATTGTTTGACGATTTTTGTACGCCTAATTAGCAGTGGCGGACATGTGGCATATATATCCCCATATATCTTCCTTATCGACTTTATGAGAGGGTCCAGGCTTGCCCGACGGAGGGTATAAGCCTATACCCTTATGATGTTTGGAATATTGTGATCGTGAAATCAACCTCGACTTTGACTTTAGTTTGGACACAAATATGAAGTCGTATTACAGTAGCGTGATGCCTATCAACTAACTAATAAAATTCACCCAAATTCGTCAAATATTTGTAGCTTTCAGGGTTGCCTTTGGCGACCCCCTGACCCCGGCTCATACAACAGGGAACAGACACCTAATTTTTTTCCTTCGCTGCGCTACTGATAGGCCTATGTATTATTGTGAAATGTAAACACCGAAAGGGGTCTATAGGCTTTATACGGGCGTATCTGAGAAACAATATAACCCAGAGAGGTTCTAAATAAAAGTAAACGATTGCTTCACAACCTGTTGTTTTGTAGCCTTTATGACCAGTGGTGGCGCCATACACATCTAGATGTGTATAAGAGACAGGGCTGGGAGGGCATAACAACTCTCCTCGTCAACCCTACCAGGGCTTTTTATTCTGGGACCCTGACCGATGCTCTTAGTTCGGACTCCCTGACTGTTGCCATGTGAGATGATAATTGTACGTATCAAAGATCATCATACGCGACAACCTGTTTTGGTATCTAATCTATAACTTCGCCAGTCTCCATGGAGTAATGTGACAATAGGTTTTAACCACCCTCACTCAATATCGTTTAAATATAAACTCGTGATATACCTAACACCCTATATAGCCTATATTAGGTCAAACCCTACCCCATTAGCATATATTCAGGGTTCGTTCGCGGTGGAGTGTCGAAGGAATAATGACCGACTACTCAGATTCAAATTATCATGAAGTCACCATAAAAAGCCACACCTCCCTCGCTTGAACCATTAGTCGTGGCATTTAGCAACTACCAACACTTTTGATTGGATGACAGTTTACGTTTGCTCCTGAATATTAATGAATTTGGTTTATATACACCGCCCTTGTTACGCACAGTGATACGGTACACGCGCTCTTCCAAGTATTTCGATAGGAACAATCCTGTGACAAAAACGCTATGGACAATTTTATTACTATACAGGAAGATGATGTTAAAGGTTTAGTTACTTACAAAGACCTTTTTCCAATAATTGAGACTGCATTTGGTGATTTTTCGAAAGGCAAGGAAGGCGATGTTCTGCAACCTGTTAGAACAGTGATTTCAGTAGAAAAACATAATGGGTAAGCTTGCGTTTTGATCCTTCAAAAGTTCATTTCAATAGTGTCGGCTTAGAATTATTGCACTTATTTAGTATCAGTATGTGGGATTAAAAAACAAATTGTACATTAGGCAAGATCTATCGACTTACCTCAAAAAAGATAATAAAAATTAGAACCGTATTAGTCATAGTAGCATGAAATACAAATAAAATCAGGTGATTCACCTGATGAAGCTAGCGAAAACTAGCGAAAGCTTTCCATAAGCTTTCATTAAATTTCGTTAGCACAAAGAATGTGCTACTGTGCTTATTCTATTTGTAGGCCTATTTATCGAAAAAATATGGAGTTTATAGCTTTGATATTTTTATAGTTGAGGTTTTCAGGTTTCAAAGACAGGTAGCCTAGCAATTTACATTATCAAGCACACGTGTATAAGAGAATAAAGAGATTATACTCATTAAAATAACAAGGAGGATGCTATTTCAGGCTAATGGAACAGACCACAGAGTTTCTGGAAATTATACTTAGGCAACACTTAGTTGAAGGATTCATTTCAATCTATTTTTAAAGCTATGATGCAGTTACTTGATAGGGGACTCTCCTAATTTGTATTACCCGAGTCCATCAGAGGCAATATCTTCAGTTGGTGTTTTGCGTCAGGAGATTAATAAGATGTTTCCTTTGTACGTTACGACAGATTGCGAAGATTATTGACACTGAAATTAGAAAAAAAAACCTATGCTAACGTCTACACTGATAAGATTAAATCTGGTAACATGTTTGATACTGAGACGGCTCGACTCCATTTGGTGGATTTGTCGATGATTGATAGTAATGTAGTTAATACAGGCCACTGTGATTTAAGTCCGGGTCATTGTTGTTCACTTGTTTTGGTATTGTTCACAGTACAGTCGTACCAGGATTAATAGGATTTTTTTTTTTTAATGAAGTGCGAGCTAACTACTCCAGCATAAGTTAAGCTATACAAATCGCACGTTATGAGAGCATCTAGTTCAGTCGGCTGAAGGTGGTAGCCACTGTGTGTGCGCTTAACCGTGGAGGTCTTTAGGGTCCCGGTTCAATTCCCATCGCTGCTCTGCTTGTGTTTCAGCTGGAGGGCTGAAATGAAGCACCTTCTTTCGGATGAGACGGGGACGTTCCAAATTTTCAGAAAACATATTTTAAATCTATAGAATGAAATTGTAGGACTAGTATACTTGATTCACGTTTTTAGAAAATTCATCGTAAAGAGTGCTTCTTTTTACTCTAAACCCCTGATGCCCTAGGCTTCGTAACTATTTCAAGATGAACCTATGTGGTGTTGTTCTAAACCCCTGGTATTCAAACATTTTGAAATGGCGACCCTATATTATACTAAATTATACTCAATAACACATTACTGTTTTAATTACAAACGCAATAAAGGAGCAACAGATAGAGATGTAAAATCGTAGAAAAAGAACACTATCAACTTAATTGCAGAAATTTTAATGATACTTTAATTCAGCCCATGACACCAAGAGTTGCTCGATTGACCGCCCCGTTACTCTCGGGGATCAGGGACTTTTCAAAAGGGGCCCAGGAAGGGACTTTGACAGACGGAGATGTAAGAAAATGTATGATTATATCACCTCTAGATGGCCGGAAATTGCACTTTTAGACTTAAACTTAAATAGGTCTATTTCTTTTTATTCCCCATTTTTTTTATAATTTTGAAAAATGTAGGAAGCCCGGGCGTCTGGGACCCCTTGAATCTGCCACTGAATTTAAATAAACACAGTAATCTACTCCTCTAAGAGCCATAATCATATATATTGAAGGGCCCGCTGGCCGTATATTCAAATATATTAAGTTGGAAATTATTTTTAGGCCTATCTATGAATGGGATAGCTATGGGCCCTAATGTGTTGCACTGTCTGCACTGCCCATCCACTGGATGAGACGTTTTAAACCGTTGATCCCGTGTGCAAAATGGCCCATGTGCAACGCAGAACTCCGGAAAAGAGTAGGGGATTGTCTCCCGGTGTACTGCTCAGTTACCACCAGAAGGACCCCATTGGAAATAAGTCTCAGGGTTTTTGTGGGTTATTCTTGGTGTGTATCACACTGAAGAAATCCATTTCAATTGTGAAGATCATTGAAACTGAGAAAGAAAAGGCCTGGCCATAATGCTAACGTCTACACTGATAGGGTTAAATCTGGTAAAATGTTTGGTACTGAGACGGCTCGACCGTTTGTCGATGATTGATGTAAAGATTGTAGTCGGTCTGACTGAGATTATAGTACACTGCATGCAGGCACGCAAATTGAAGACAATAGCCACAATTGTAACAAATTACCGTATTTTATTTTTAAAATATTTTGTTTCGATGTTTTGACTCGAATGTTCTGATTTTTAAAGTATTTAATTTTAACACTTAAGACTTTCTGTATAACCTTTTGGAGACCCATGGTGTGATCAGACGACCCTCAAAAATTCACTCACGGCCTAAACTTGGGTTACGACCCATGGGTTGCCGATCGTAGAATTAATAAATTAATAGTATATTATAAATAGATTTTATTATGACTGTATAACAGTTAGACCGCATGTCATCCATGCATAATAATATGCCAAATAAATATTAATAAAATTTCAGTTCCTTAACCTTTTTATTTGTCAATTATAAGTGTTGGACATCAACCATCTATAATTTCCATTTTTTACTTGCCTGCCTACCTCCCCCCACCCCACTCCCCACCACCATTGCCAACCATATTAAAGTTCATTCAGTAAAATTCAGTCATGGCTATCGGTATTTTCTTTGAGTTATAATCAGCTGATACACTGAGAAAAAACAAACAAGATTGCTTTCTCCGGATATTCGATCGATAGCAGTAGCCAAATTAGGGGGTGGGGGCTTTTTTAAAATTTCAAAAAATATTGAGAAAAAAATAATATATTCAAATTTTTGTCTACAGGTGCAGTAATCATACATTTTATTAGCTCTACTTCAGCCGTACGTGGTTGGGACTGAGGTAAAAAAGAAATATAAAATAGTACCTAGATGGGAAGACACTTTTATATACAGTAGTAAAATTCATCATCATCACATCACCAGGCAAAATAAAGCGTCAAAAAATTTCTCGTGATCTCTTATTAACGATTTTCGGCAAACATAGAGATCTAATTAATACTGACATGTGGTGTAAAATTAATCATCATTGATCGTATGTTTCTCTGTTGTTTATGTACTTTTGTTGCCATGAGAAAAATAATTTCATATTTTTATTTGACAATAAAGCTATCTTGTATCTTGTATCTAATATGAATCGCTGCGATAATAGAAATATAACAACATAATTGTCTTCGATTTATCTACTTTACCTACTTCATGAGCCGAAAACCAATTCATCTTTACACACTTTTTATCATACTTGTATAATAAAGGCACGCACTCGAGTCATGTATTACAGTTAATTCAGATGTTTGTGGACATAAAACACCAGTGTCTTGTTATAAAATAAGATGTTATCTGCCTGTAAAGTGGTCTTTCGTTAAAATATGGTCATTTATGCAGTTCAATTCTACAATTTCCAGGTATATTCTTGACTTCCTTAGGAACGTGATGGGGACCACCCCCTTAAAATAGTTGGGGTACTCGCCTGTCACCCCCGTCCATGCTATTCACCAGAAGACAAGGCATTATACAGGCATTATACAGTAATTCGGCACCAAATCCTGAATTTACGTGATTTCCAACATTTTTTTTTATATGAAGAGAGTAGAATAGTAGGCCTATTTCAAATAAATCAATTATCAGAGTCATTATTATACTTTTAAAAATATCAACAATTATTTTTACACTATTTGCAAATAAATTTGTTTTATTGTATTAGCTATAAAATTTTAATTGGTGTTTTTAGGTAAGAAAATATAATAATAGGCCTATTCCTATATAGGGCCTATTGATGTAAGATCACATACTTTTTTTCCGACTCCTGAGTCTCAGCTGGGTCGGCACACACTGGGCAGGCCTCATTATTTGTCAATTAATCGTACCTATCATTGTATTTAAAATTAAAATTGAATTATTGTTGTAGTTCCATCTACCCTGAATTTAAATATTACAGAGGTTACTATAATATCTAACAATTTCCGTGTTTACATTCTGGGACGTGACGTACGTACGAATTTGCATACTTGCGTACGTACGTACGTACGTGTGTTGCGTAAATGAGTACGCGCAGACTGTTGAAGGTATGTTAACCAATCAACAGCGTCAGCGGCAAATCAAATTAAAGCGCTTCGTAACCAAGGCACAGCACACACATCCTTGGCAGGGCGTATAAGCCCAGTGAAATAGTCCAGTTTTCTTTGCTATAAAAATCACCTTTCCCGTGGGTATATTTTGGTAAACTTTTTGTATGTTGTAGATATAAAATTTAACTATATATATTCATAAAAAAAACGTTTTGTTGCAATTATGTCCAACTTTGGTGCTTCAAATCCGTATTTCTGGTGGACTATCATGGTCATTGTAGTACGCTTGCTTGCTATTGTTCACAGTATAGTCGTACCGGGATTAACAATTGGATTTGCACTAGTCAGATTAAAGTGCTAGCCAACTGCCATCGACTCGAATAATGTAAGAAGATGCTTTAAGTCCCTTGATTGTTGAAGTATTATTTTGATCCAATGATGCAAGTACCTACCCTGAGGTGATAGGTCCTTTGATTTCCGCCAAGTGGCCAATAAGTTGAATTACGAAATGTGGTTTGCTTGGCAACTGTTTTATGATGATTTTGAAATACTTTCAATAAGGTAATTGAGAAATAATTGGAGGTCTTCGTTTTTCGGGTCTTCGTTTTGTAGACACCCATATAGGGTGTCTATAAAACGAAGACCCTTGAAAATTTTACAAACAGATGCCAAAAAAAAAAAAAAAAAAAAAAAAAAAAAAATCTTAATTTTGATTTTGTGACAGCCTGGCGTATTATCATCAAAATAAAAGAGAAAAATAGGGGTCTTCGTTTTTGGGTCTTTGGTCTTCGTTTATAGGCACCCGTGCTTGTAATGTGTAATGCAATAAGGCTTTGCTTGTAATGTGTAATATGCAATGTATAATGTGTAATTGTAATGTGTGTAATGGCTTTGCTTGTAACGTGCAATGTCTGTGCAATATGTAATGTAATCTGTAATATAATAGTAATGTGTAATAGCCTTGTAATAGCATGTAATGTGTGATGTGTAGTGTGTAATGTGTGATGTAATTGTAATAATGGCTCTGCTTGTAATGTGTAAAATAATTTTGCTTGAACAGTATTGGGTAATGGCTTTGCTTATAGTGTAATGTAATGTGTAATGGCTTTGTATGTGTAATGTTTAATGTGTAATGTATAATGTGTAATAGTATTTCTTGTATTATTTTCAGAACCTGCTTTATCATGCCCTGTGTTTACCATGGAATTATGACGACGAAGGTGCTTACCATATTTCACGATGGTGAAAAGCAATCTCGTCAGTCTTTGATCTGGTTGTATACCTTGCCCAGTGCTGGACTGAAAGCGGTAGGCATCACTTCGAAACTATATAAATTTAATTACTTTAATTTATTATGTACATGCAAAAAGATCGACGACATTAACTGGAATTATGATTTCGCTCTTTGAATTTGATTTGTTGATTTATTTATTAGGTCTAGGTAAAACGAGGAAATTGCTTTGTTACGGTAGAAATTCAAAACTTTAAATTTAGTTAATGCGATGACTAATGATTGTTTACAGATGATAGCTGGCGAGACAATTACATTTCATCGAACGGCTGCTATGTCTGTAATTGCCACAAAGGTTAGTGTGTTTCTGTTTTATTTACTTCTTGCTTTTCATTTTATATGATTTTTATTATACATGTTGATGATAAATAGGGAAGAGATCATCATGATTATTCATAAGTAAATACAAAAAGAAAATGTTTCATTTCATTACCGGTATTATTACTATTATTACTACTAGGCCAACTATAATAATTATTATATGCATTGTTATTTTTAAAAACATACCGTAACCATCATTATCATTTTCATTATTTATATATCGTTACCATTATGTTCATCACTATAAAGAAAGGAAGATTGGTTTTGAATCTATTATTGTATTTTGAAATTAGTACCTTGCTCCGAAGCAGCCCAAAGTTCTTGCCATTCTTGGAGCAGGCCATCAAGCCAGGAGCCATTTTAACGGACTCAATGCTTTTCATCAATTTAAAGAGGTACGAAATACATATTTGATTCAACAAAACTCCTCGTTGAACGAACTAGATCTCTGAAGTATTATACATAATAAAGATTAAATAAGCGACCTGTACTTTAATTGTAATGGACAGTGGCGTAGCGCAGGGGCCGGGGGCCCTATGGCTTTCTGAGACTCAGGGGCCTTTTTGGGTCCCAGTAGCCAATTCTATTGTGGGATTATATGTGTTCGTTTATTAATCATGTTTGCCATTCTATTCTAAATCATGTGATTAAGACAAAAGTAGGTCTATTGCAAAGATGTTAAAATGTTAAATTTTTTTTTTATCAGTGCCATAACTATATGAATAGAGTTGCTTATTTCTCCATGAATCCTTAACACAGAAAAATTCATTTCAACATACGTCTCTGACTGTCGTAAAGCCCATTTTCGGGCCATAAGAAACAAACAAATTCTCATGGTGGACCCATTGTCTACACCACCCCTCAAAAACTGGTACGGTACCTAGTTAGCCATTCTACATTCTTTAATCATAGAGCCACCATTGTTAACGATGTTCATTCCGTAATAGGATAAAAACCCAATAAAATAAAATCCATAAAACAAAATACTTATTTCAGACGTCAACTTCATCACAGACGCTACATCTTTAAAAACCATCCAGATCGGATGCGACACGTCGTTGTATTGGTAGTGGTATATTCGGATGTTGCAGTCGCAGTGGCATTACTGTATACATTTTTTAATTAAAGAAATGAGCATTATATCAAATGTCGCAACAGTACTAACTTTTTATAAATCATGAGATATAAATACCTTATTTTGCATGCAATACATGTAGCATTAGTAAAGAATGTCTCTTTCATATTAATTGTACTCTAGAAACATATTTATATTATGAAATTTATTAAGCTTGTTTTACATTGAATTAAACGTCAAAGTTCGATATTTTTGTATAAAAATCTAATCTTTCATTGTATTTGATGCATTGATAGTATGATCAGTATGTATGTAACTTGTTTTTAGATACTGGATATATGTGTGACGTGTGGTATGTCTAAAAAGTTTGTGTGTATTAAAATATTTACTTATACGATCTATTTAGACTAGAATTTGGACACGATCCTTTACCAAGGCACAGACTCTAGCCAACGAGCTCAATTGCATAGCTTGCGAAACAGCACAAGAGGCTGTGAAGGATGCTGATGTAATAGTTACTGTTACTAGATCCACCAAACCAGTGTTGATGTTGGATTGGGTGAAAAAGGGTGCTCATATCAATTGTAAGTATGCAACAGGGAAATCGGCGAAAAGGATATTTATAATGTAGGCCCTATAAGCGATATTTATAATAAATAATAATAGAAATACCGTAATGGCGTTACTATCATAACATAATTCATTAAATTTTATTATAAAACCTTTATATAATGTGCAAAACCAGAAAGACGATGAGAGAAAGACCTATAGAAGCAGTTTGGTATATTTTCTATGAGCCTTGAAACTTGGAGGTTTTGCAAGCTTAAGAAAACGATAAATTCGGTACGGTAAGTCATCGAATGTTTAGTCAGTCCATCCCTTAAGGTAGCATATCTGTCACAACGATGCGCTTATACGAATCAACGATCATATTCCGCTCGTTGTCAAGATTTTTATTAGGAAAAAATGACGATAATGAAGATGACGTATTCGTAAGGTTGCGAAAACTCGCTATTGCTATAGTTACATGGTTTACCTTGGGTATTTGGATAATTATATACTCCCCAGAGTGAAAAGTTGTGTAGTTTAGTAAGGGCAACTGGGACCATCCTATTAATGTGCATTGTAATTTGTTTTGGTAATAATTCTATCAGCCTTTATATGTAACTTAATAGCCTGACTGGCAAATGGCAGATCATTATTATACATAAGAATAAAATAAAGTTCCAATATAAAAAATAAAGTTTGGAGTACAATGTTATTCACAGGCGTTGGTGCTCTTAAACCATCCTATCAAGAGATTGATCCGGAGCTCATGCGAAATTCTGTTGTGTATACTGACACTATCGAAGGTGCGCTGAAAGAGTCCGGCGATATCATCTTATCCAAGGTAGGTCTCATATACTAAAGGTGTACAATGTATTCTTAATTATTTGAAAAATAAGTGATGCAGAAGTAATAGTAGTAGTATAGGCCTATTAGATCTATAATATTCGGGAGATGTTAGTAATTTCAAGACAACAAAACTAAAATCACTGATCACAGAGTCCCACTAGTGCGGCTCTCAACTCATTATCGGAAAACGAAGAATTGTTTTAGTGGTTAGTATAATAGCCTGTTTCTGACGCAAGCCTATATTATAAAATCATGTTTTCCTGCGATGTTGAAATTATGTAAATTTTCTTCTCAGTGCGATGTCTATGCCGAGATAGGAGAAGTTGTTAATGGTTACAAAGATGCGAAATCAGATCAAACAACTGTCTTCAAATCTTTAGGTACGGTAGTACATAAACTTGCTTTTTGTTTTTTTTTTGTTTTGGTTTTTTTTTCATTTATCGATCAATTATCTTACAGGAGTTACTTTTATAATATTTACTGTTAATTACACGAATAGATACTACTAGGCTATAAGAATAGTGGTGATGATGATGAAATCATAAATGCTCTTACTATAGTGGCACTGAGGCGGTCTAGACACTCCATCTGTGAAAGTACCTCCCTGCCCCCCCCCCCGCCCTTTAATTCGAATTCGTGGATGTGGTGGTGCCAGTGTCGGGGCTGGGGGTCAGGGTCTTTTCGGGCAGAGCGAGCACCGCCGTCGGGAGAAATAAAAATACAATTTGCAGGGGAGAAGAAAAGATTCTTTGTATTTTTCAAGACTGTGAGCTTTAAATCCCTAAATTGTCGGAGCTTTCTAGGGCCGCGGCCTCCTGGACCCCAACTAGTATTGGGTGGCTACTGGCCCTGCGTTCACTAATACTCAAGTCAGGGACATCGGACCCCTCCCCAATCATGCATATTTTTGCGCCACAACCAACTGTGTGAAACACACTAAGACTTTCAGAAAAGACATATTATGAACTCGTGTATAGACTCAATAAGAAGAGACGTAGGCAGTTAGTAGGGTACTCCATCATCACCCACAGAGATATCTACATTATTTGTTCGTTCTTCGTTCGTTCATTGTTCGTTCATTGAATCACCAACCCCCTCCCGTTGTTCTCCACAATGAACTTGAGAGAATGGAATGCGATTTTAGACCCAAGCCAGCACCAGATACATTGTCATGTAAGAAAAACGGAATGTTTTGTACCGACTACTGTTGACCTGTGTGGCCAAGGAGTGAATCCCCGGAACTACCGACGTTGTGCATTTTAAGCCATTGGCCTATATAATGTTAACGTACAAAAATAACTAGTTTATATATAGTTATCTTTTGCCATATACTTTTATTATTTTGTATTCACGTTTTTACATCATCATAATCACGACCGTCAGTATCATCATTATCATTATCAACATCATCATCACTTCTTTTGTGTTCTTTGCTGAAATACAATAGGCCATCAACTAACATCCATTGTCTGAGGCAATAAACATCGACACTGAACCTTCCATCCCAAACATTCAGGTCTTAGTTCTATGTTTCCTATCCATATACCAATGTGGTTCTATATATAATTATTATAACATTGACCAAACAGATGACTGTCACGATGAGAAACTAGAACAGTAGGCCTATGGGTCATGTAGACTAACAATTGGGATAATTGGTCCTACGTTGCTAAGTTTTAATTTGCAAACTATATGAACTTAACTTCTTTTTTCACTGCAGGAAACCTCCTAAACTATGCTTACGATCTGAACTATTTTTGATAATTGAATTCTTGTTTCCATCACAGAGAAATAACCCATTATGTTTTATGGAACCTTCCATTTTCAACTTTTGCTCCATTACTATTCTTTACTATAATTTAAAGGTTTATCAAAATTGTAGGTCTAAAGCCAACTGGCATAGGTTGTAAAAAGTTTGTGATGACTTGGCTGAGGCCGATCAGGCTAACAAAGCTTTATACAGTAAAGAAAAGTTCTCTTTACTGAAGTAATCAATAGAAAAACCATCACTGCTAAACACCAACCCTATATTTCTGAGTCTTTAGGGCCAAATATATTTATAAAAGAGAATTAGGGTACCGTACTTTTGGCATTCCGTGAAAATGGCTAAAAATCCCTGTCTTGGGTCTTTTTTTAACATCCTGATTTATGAAATCGTTAGAAAGAATTGGCCTCGGGGATATAGTTTAACGTTGTGTTCGTAGTCAATCAACAACAAATTCAAAATTAAGTGGTAAAATAATCGATCTCTCTTTTCGCCCACTTATGGGTCTGTCTCTTATACACATCTAGATGTGTATAAGAGACAGATATAATATAGTCTATATATCGTACATTTACTAAATTGTGATTTGTTATTAGAAAAAAATATTCACAGCATGAGCATATATTCTTCCGGTATTACTCAAGAAAACCAGGGAACAGTGAAATTACTGTTCCCTGAGAAAACATTAGGCCTATATTCAAGAGACAATAGAGATATACATAATTCTAAGAGTGGGCTCCATATATAATATACTTAAACAACGTGCAAGGTATTGTGAAATATTAACAATATGCAATTACATAACATGTGTAATAAATACACAGGATGCAATATGCATTATATTTGGAATTTCATTTATTTCGTCCAAAGAACTTTAAAATTGACAAACACAAAATAACAGAGAGATGATGATGATGATGATGATGATGATGATGATGATGATGATGATGATGATGGCAGCCAGAACGATAGCGACTACGACTAAAATTATTTGTGTGGCCGAACCGAAAACAATTTCCCCAGCCCAACGTCATGCCTATGAGTAGAACTTAGCTAACAATAATAACGTTTTTATCACCGTTATTTTGTAGAACAATATTAGTTCTAAGAATGTTATAGTAACGTTATTTTGATGATAAAAACGTTAATTTGTAGAACCATATGTGTACGTACTTACAACCTAATTTCACGTCACAACGTTTGAACGTTTTTACAACGTTGTGTGAACGTTATTATATGACATACCTAACCACAACGTTCGAGAACGTTATAGGAACGTTTTGTGTTTGCTGGAAAGTAGTAGTGGTAATAGTAAGAGTTGTAATGATATTAAAAAGAACGTAATATTAATAATAAAGCAATGATAGTTCTTGTAGCAGTAACAATAGATCCTCTAACAACAATAATACAGTACGGCATAATAATATAATGTTAATATTAATAATATAAAATGGTATAAAAATAGTAGGCCTACTAATGCAAATAATATGAATACTGTATAATGATAATGATATTGATATGATGACGATTCAGATAGCGATGGCGATGGTTATGATCATAGTAATTGTGATGGCGATGACAGCGACGACGATTTGGGACAGCGTCGATGACGAAAAAGTTAACGAAGATAATGACGACTGTAACGATAAAACTACTTATGTCTCATTCTCATATTCACAGGCATAGGCGTGATGGATACAGCGACAGCAACATTTGTGTACGAAAATTACAAGAGCAAAATTATTTGCAAGAATTAAAGATGTATTTGTGTTCTAGATGTTTAAGGTTTGCATGGCGAATCAATAATTATACCGTACTATTTGTACACCACAATTCATGTTATTTTGGGTTCCTGAGGAGAACCCAAAATAAAGTTTCGATTAGTAAATAGGCCTAGGCCTGCTCTAACCGTCTTCAGGGGAAGAATTATGAAGGAGCCGAGATGATGAATGTTGCTTCTGTTCATACATAGGGCCTACTGTGATTGGATGTTGTTAGAAGAATTTCTTGGGCGGATGGTTTCTTTTTGTGTGTGTGTGTGTGTTGTTCCAGTTGTAGTAAAAAAAAAAGAATGGCTTGGGTGGGTGGTAGCTTGGTATCCGTGGTTGTGGTTTTAATTGTTGGCTTGTCAGGTTTGGTTCCCGTGTGTGTAGGCCTGCCGACTGGTTCGACTGGTGATGGTTTGTGTTTTGTTAAACTAAACTAGCCTTGTCCAGGCTATCAATTTTTTTTGACAAAAACATGTGACATGCTTAAATATGGTCATGATTACATCACCTCATGTCAATATATAGGCACATCATGACTATATATGGGCAACAGTTTTTTGTTAAAGAAAATTTGATAGTCTAGACAGAGCTTAATACACTAAAAGTGCCGCACTGAAAGCACCGTGGTGATTATCCGCATTGATTAGATGAGATTTATTTTATTTGTCATAATGTATACATAGGCCTAATATGTTTCTACCTGATTATTAGTAACAATCTCAAGACAATATGAATATAAATTACACAACAGTATATACAATAAACAAACAATGAATGAGTTGAATAAAAAAAGAAAAAAAGATACACAATTACCTAATAAATTTATCGTTTGCTTTCCTTTACTGTATAAATCCTCTTCTACAAGCAAGCGAGATCGATTGACCACAAACCAGTCAGAGAATCACAAGTTCATGGTAATAACCTATCCTACATTATAGGCATAACGTTGTATATGAAGAACTATGTAAAATGAAGAATTAGGAATAACCTTTTAAACCTAAGTTTTATTGTTGAGATAAATATTAAAGATAGGCCTACATAAATAATAATGTTACACGGTTTACTATTTGTATTGATGTTTTAATACCATTCCAATTACGATATTTTTGTTTTGCAATGTCTCCTATATTGATTGCATTTAATGACTGCTCGCAAGCAACGGAGAGCACGGGGCCATCTTTTGTAAAGATGGTATAAATGTATTTATTTAAAAAAATTTATGAAATAAATTATAATCACGTATAACAAGTATTCAATTGTTATTCATTTCATTTATTTCCATAATCCATATATATATAGGCCTATATGTATATATATATATATATATATATATATATATATATATATGTATATACAAATGCATATATATATGCATATATATAGGCCTATATATATATATATATATATATATATATACATATACATATATATATACACATATACATATATATATACACATATACATATATATACACATGTACATATATATACACATATACATATATATACACATATACATATATATACACATATACATATATATACACATATTATATATATATATATTAATATATTTCAATTCAAGACAAATGTTGATCTATTACGAAAATGACAAATTGTTCAAAATTTAATTGTTAAAAATGTTAATTTAATCAATGCCAATAAACAGATGAATTGAGTTTCTTATAGCTCCATGAATAAATAAAGTGCAGGGAACACGAATAAATAATACAATGAACAGTGACTATATAATATATTTAAACAACGTGCAGAGTATTGTGAAATATTAACAACATGCAATTACATAACATGTGTTATAAATACACAGGATGCGGTATACATTATATTTGGAATTTCATTTATTTCGTCCAAAGAACTTTAAAATTGACAAACACAAAATAACAAAGAGTAAAAAACAACTCTCAGCTGGCCGTACAGAATTGCCACATAGTGAACTGAATCACTGTCTAGTGGCACTCCGATGCCAATGGGAACATAAATTAAATTAGCATTAACAAGTCGTGTAAAATATTATAGAGTTATAATATGGAGTTTCGAATTTTTAATGGTTCAATTTTATTGTCAGATGAGTAGTAGGCTTACTTTGTACTATCAATTGAATTATTAAAAGTTTTTTTAATTAAGTGCTGTGTTTGCTTCTAAGTAGGCCTTATACCGATTAAGCTTTAGTTTTAGTCATTTTTTTATGGCAGACAGCCCATGTAGGTAAACCTCCATGGACAGTTCTACCAGGTGATAAAGACATAATGACTACCTAATAGAGCACTAAGATTCAAGGGCGATCCAGCTTTTTTTGTGAAAGGGTGGAAAGGGCACAATGTTAGAATGCTGTTAGTTTCACAGGGGTTTATGAAGTCATACTGTGCAAACTTTGTTTACATGGGTGCCAAGAAAAATATGAATGGGATGATGATGGTGATGATAATGATGATGATAATGATGGCGATAACAACGGTAACGACAACGACGACGACGATGACGATGATGATGATGGCAATGTTGTTGACATAAGTGGTGGCATGACTTAGGTTATGGAGACACTAATGCAGACTGAAGTTAAGTGATTCTAAGCTGGGAATAAAAGAGAAAGAACACCCGTTCAGCGTACAGGAACAAAAGATATCAGCAGTTTGTATTTGTGGTATAGACTTTTTGGTGGTTTCTGTATTTAGCCTTTAATAGTAATACTTCCAGTGATCCTCAGATTGAGGTCTAGGGACTGAAAAGCCCCGGACAAAAATTCGGTGGTTCTGGTTGTAGCGTATAATCAATGGCATATTTGGAATTGATATAAAATCTAGTTATCGTTGTTTTGCATCGCACTGGAATTGCACGGATCTAGGGCAGATTGTCGAAACTCAGTTTGCTGAAAGCCAGATTGCCGAGTTCACTTTTCCGAAACCCATTTTTCCGAATGCTATTTTACCGACCCAAAAACCATGAATCCCAGTAAAACATTAACAACACCATTCACGATGAGGTACTCTCTTCCATGTACAGTATTCGTATAATAAATAGCGGCTTATTGTAGTTGTAATGTGATTCTTTTAGTCTTATTATGTAAATCAAACTTGATTAACAATTTGGCTATCAGCCGAAAGAAAAATATATAATTAAATAGGCCTATCAGATAAAATGTCTTACAAGCATATTTATAATAAATACACTAAGCTTAACTAAGATAATAATAAGTAGACCTAAATAAATCAATAATAATTTACAATTATACACACTGCTCCAAAACTTTGCCGACAAGGGATCTGAATCAGTGGCCGACTAGAGCCTCGGTCAGGGCCCAAGTATAAAAATCCCTGGAATGGTTCGCATGGAGAGTTTGTTTAGGGGGTTTTCCAGTATTTGCCTTTTATGTACGGCTTCCCCTGACCGTCCCTTTTTTTTCAAAAGCACCGTATACTGTAGTTTTGTACGACGGTGACGCCAAGATTCGGCAAACTGAATTTCGGCAAACTGATGTCATGATTTCACTGAACTGGATTCGGCAAACTGGGTGGGCATTGGCTATGTAAACTGGATTTCAAAAACCTGGTCGGATACAAGACTGGGTTGCAGTCCATAATTTTGTCTTAATCATTGAAAACTATTCAAAATAAATCTATGTTGGCACCAATGACGTCCCATAAAACTTATTTTCATGGCGTTCCATACTATACTTTTTCTGGGATTAGGCTATCCAAATTCAATTCTATTTTCTTCCTCCATGATTCAACCAAAGAATATATTCTTTGATTCAACCATGGAGGAAATTTCTTCCTCCATGATTCAACTAATCAAGTTTCCCGACATAAAGAGACGCTGGTGGCGCTCTCCAAAATTACCTAATACTAGGGAAAAATCCGAATAAATTACAGACTTGTGGCAAGTCTTGCTGGATACCAATAGCACATAATAGCACTTAAAAAACGAATGTCCTTCACTTAGGAGTTTAAATTTTAATTGCAAGTAATCAGTGCCGGTTTGACAATTGGCCGACCCCGGGCCAGCCTCCAACATTTTTGAGGGGTTTACATTTCTAATTAAGCCTACTTAAATTAAGGATTGCCAAAAAAGTTGAAATGCATGAAGTCAATACATAAACAACCGCATGATGTGTTGTATTCAAATACATAACATTAAAGAGACAATGTGTTGCGAACATTATTAATAAATTCATATAATTTATACGTATCAGTATATATTTATTTAAAAAAGTAATAGAATTGAGAAAAAGTGGTCCGGCGAAAGGTGCGACCGGTGCCAAAAAATTACCGCTGCGATGAGAAACTAGAACATTTAGGCCTATGGGTCATCTAGACTAACAATTGGGAAATTGTTCCTACGTTACTAAGTTTTAATTTGCAAACTGTTTGAACTTAATAACGAGCACTGTATATACAATTACGTGACAAAGAAATTCAATTAACGTAGGCCTATCGATGGCAAGTCTGTTAGATTTATGTCTTCACAGCAGATGGAATTGTGAGGCATTATCGTTCAAAGTTGGACCAGTTTCATTGCAAAAGAACAAACGGTAAATGGAGGTTTGCTTCTACTTAGTAAGCATTAACGACTCCTCCTAATCGTAGCGGCATTGTGAATGATTATCAGAGCGATAATGATGGTGTAAAACCAAGGACTACTCTTTGGTAAAACCTGGTAAACCTATACGCAGATTCACTAGATGAATACACGAACGTTGGACAATTAACTAGATTGCAGACAACTTCTAAATTGTTTCAATCATATCGTAGTAGCATAGCCTTACAAAATATATAGTCCCTCTGTTGTATTACAAAGTTTAAGTGCATCGACGCTGACGAATTGATTAGCAGATACAATCAATTCATTGAGCATTTGATATGTATTCCTACAGATTTTCAAGAAAGCAGATAAACGATCACTTATGAAGATATCCAGATAGACCTATACACAGGTAAGCAAGAAAAGGATTGTTGTTTACATTTTAGTATTTAAAACTAACTTAAACTGATGATGACATAATTAATGTCGAAATATTGAATCCCGACATAACTGTGTGTGAATAAACCGCGCATTTAAATGAGGTTTTACTTTTTCAATCAATAACCGTTTATTTGACAATTTCCATCGAGAGAACATAAGCAATTATAATTTAATATAGGCGAAGTGTACCCACTGATTGACTTGACTATTCAACTAAAATGTATCCTATCATATAAAACAACCTACGTATGAACATCACAACATCAGTGATTATGTTATAACATTTCCGTCACGTTTCTGACGAAGACTAGAAAGCCAAGCTGGATTATCGGTGGTTCAATACCTCTACTTGGTTCTAATGAGCTGTGGCAGATGACAAGGTATACTTGATTTTTTTAAATTTCCAAAATAGACGTATTGACATAATATTCATCATGTTCGGAAACTTGAATCCACCGCCAACTCGTCAAAAAAGAATCTATAATGCAGTTCCAAATGTGCTTCCAGGACGGTTTTTAAAATACAGTAATGTTATGAAATGAAAGCATTAAAATTCATTCTTCGCATACAATATGCCTAGACTGGCACTTTCTATCTCGTCGATGTATTGGAATACTTTTTTTTCCAGCAGAGGAACCTCTTCATTAACCCTGTGTAAACAGATCTATAGACATAACAATGAGTACCGTATTGTACGTAATCTGTTGTTTTCTGTCTGGCACGTTATCGATTATAAGAAACAGGCCGTGAATGATATAAGGATTGGAAAAGGTCATGTGCTTCATATTCTGTACTTTCAGACAATAATTAGCCAATAAAAAGACAATAATATTTTATTCAAATGGTCCTAGGCGAACGTAACTATTACTATTTAGATTTATTCACTGTTGAATAATGAGGTATGAAATCCAGTGAACCGTTATATTTTAAATTGTTTTATCGATGTTTTCAAAGATGATTTAAATTTTGTCGACCTGTTGTATTGATAATTCAGTCGTCAGTTCATGTTGGTGTTTTTTCTTGTTCCAATTGTCGCAATTTGCAAATGGTATATTTTAAGAAGTTGTGTATTTACATCTTTCCGTTGCTAGGCTACAAAGTAGAGCAGATGGGATTATTGGTTCCAAGATTTGATGAATGAGTGTTTCAATTACGCACGTGTTTGTTATGACAACATAAGATGAGAGGTTGATAGTTGTAATTTGTTAAATATGACGAACATTAAAAAGTATTTGTGTTCATCAGGGACTCTGGCATTCAAAGTGTCGTGCGAGTTAGGCCTATTGTTCATCAGATCAATACGGTTTATAGTGTATATACTCTCAACCTTTATTATTCACTGTTTATTTAACAGGAGGTGACGAGTTGAAAAGGTAGTCACGAGCAAACGTCTTACTGTTGCTAAGTAAAACACTGGAAGCATTTTAATAGTGTGCTTGTTCGCCATTGACTCAAAACGACAATACCAGAACGGCCAACAAAATACGGGAATAGAAGGGTAATGTAGCCTATACAGGGCAATTTAAGCGTGAGATTACTGTCATGCCTAAATGAAATTACAACGAAAGTACAGTTACACAATCTTTAACAAAGGTAGGCCTAATTATTATAGTATTGTTTTGTAATAGTAAGATATTTTCCATGAACACTCAGCTTTAAGTCAGCAACCATCTACAGTATGTAAAATCTACAAACTGTAGCTTTATTATTATTAAATTGTAGGCCATATTTCAAACAACATTACTGTGTTTTGGATATTTGATCGTGATCAACCTACTTCATTTGATGGATGGATAGATTTATTCAGTGTTAAACACTAAGAATAATCCACGAAAATCTGAAGAAGACATATTCTATAGTGAGGTTCTTCTGATGGTGATTAAGCAGTACGGGAGACCATCCCCTACTTTTTTACGTAGAGTGTACAGTACTGCGTTCTTCAATGTGCACATGCACTAGACCAACGGCTTATACGTCTTATCAGAAAGACGGTGCTCTATCGTAACTTGCATTTCAGCCCTCCAGCTGAAACACAAGGAAAGCAGTGTTGGGAATTGAACCGGGGATCTAGACGGATTTCCATGGTCCAGCGCACACACAGTTGTACCACCAGTTTAGCCGACTGAGCTATAAATCCAGACTAATTTATTGTAACACACTTTTACAAAAGCGACAGACGGACACAAAACAAAATTGAGGTGCGTCCAGCCAGGCACATCGATAAGTTAAAGCATAATATTACATAAAATATACCTTAACTGCTAAATAATTACCGTAAGCAGTATAAAAGAAAACTACACAGTCATCTCCAGAGTTACAGGAAGCAAATAACTAATTGAGATTATTTGTAAAAATAAGAAATTAAATTATAAATGGAGAAACTTAATAATATTAATTAATATGAACTAATGTCAGGTAAAATATTGCATAGTCTATTAAGACTGACACTGACCTTTGATAAAAGAAAACTGAACTGATGGGCTTTAAAAAAACTAAAACAGTGTTTCATTCATATTATATACAATTAAGGATTTTTTCCCTCTATATGATGATGATAATAATAATAATAATAATAATAATAATAATAATAATAATAATAATAATAATAATAATAATAATAATAATAATATTTGGCAATCGTCAAAAACAATTTTAGCCTGGAGTGAGAATATTCACAAGCCCAAACAGATACTGTTGCACTCGCTCCACCATAACCAATTTCACGACTATAACGCGACGTTTATTTTATTTATGGAAAGAAAATATTAAGAAACCACTAGCGACCACAGGCTAAAAGTGGTCTCCAAACAGCATATTATAAGAGGGTAACCGAACCTGAAGCCGAAGTTAAAAGTGGTGTCCAATGGGACAAACATTATACAGTATATTCCTTCTGAGGAGTCTTTTAAAAATTCCAGGTTTCCGCCTCTTGAAAAGGGTCAGGTAATTTTATCTCATTCTTTAGGCATGAGAATAATAATCAGGCATAGGCCATATATTATTGTATTCCAACAATATTGAGTAGTTGGATATATGTAGTCTTTCTCCATCGGCGACTTTCATTACATTTTCGCCCATGGCCCCATAACTCACCACCGTTACGCAAATGTACCGTAGGTGGTTACTTGGTACTTTGAAATAGTGGTCTCGAATTAAAGGGGGTCTCGGATGAGAGGGCGAACTGTAGTTATTTATTCTTTAGCTCAGCCAGTTATCAAATCATGTTTGGGAATCAGATAAGATATGGGCAATAGAGAGGCACGGCGAATTATGAGTACGCCTAATATACATAAGGGAATCAAAAGTTAATTAGTGCGAAAGACACACTGGTTCTTAAAAAAAGTCTGTTAATTGGTAGAAGACAAGTATTATTTCTATAGGCCATAAGTTGATAAATTGGTGAAATGATGGAGAAAGGTTTGAAGATTTAAAGGATTGAGTAAGCAATTGATGATTTTCAGACGGACGGTTGAAGAAAGCAGCCAAATATTTGAAACACAATAAGTTAAAATGCGGTACATAAATACATTAACAACATTTTTAATATTGGTATATTTTGTTTATATTGGTAGTGTATTGCTGTTACTTTTGTTGTTATTCAGTATTGGTAATGGTATTTGCAGCTATAGTAATCAAATCTAAGAAAGATTTGAGAAAGGTAAATGGATAGATGAAAAGTGTAATGGGGAATAGACTAGCAATTTTTTCAACACGTTATTGACTATTGGCCATTCTGTCATTACTACTATTATAGGTGGTACTACTAAAAATATCATGACGTGTAGAATATTTCGTATCATGTCTATAGAAGCTGCTGCAATTGATATTTACGCATTTAATGACAATAAATCATCTTTGTAATTTCAGAGCTCTGGTTGCTGAGGAAAACGGCTATTGAAACCATGCTTGTCGCTAACACAACAGATAATACTTGTGATAGACGAATTACGTGCTACTACTACTATAATTCTCGGCTTGTGACATGAAGCGGGTTGTAGTGTGCCAATCTGTAGCGTCGAATATGACGCCCAGAAATAGCATGCGCTTTAGACTACAACAAGAGACAGTAAAAGTGCTCGAAGAATTCAAAACTAAATGTGTTCAATTTGCTGCAAAAAATATCTTTCACCATCATCTTCGGCTTGAGTATTTGAACTTAGCGGCGGAAATATGCCGTCTAATTAATCAACACGTTGATAGATGTATTAGCCAGTATCCAAGTCGATCATCAGATATTTGGCGCGATGCACTTGAAGAAGCTAGGAAGCTAAAGAACGAGATGTCAGAATATCTGAAGGGGATGACATCATCGTTTGGAAAAACAATTTCAAAAATGTTGCAGAGTAACGGTGGCAACTATCCAATGCTTATCCAATCCTACTCACGTAGGCTATTTCGTGCAAACTTCATTGAACTTAATGTTTCCCAACAGGAACGGATTTTTATTGAGATCCTCCGGCAGACATCAAGAACTAACTTGGTTATTGTTTCAATTCGCCGATGGTGTGGAAAGCTTGGTATAATGTTTGTCATTGTGACAATTGGAATATTGATGTATAATATCAGCGTTGCCATAAATCCAACATACAATCATATTAGTCGCGCTGTTTCTCTTGGTTTTGGAGCTTCTAGTGGTTGTGTTGGGCGTGAGCTTGGAGCCGAGATTTCTGCATGTGGCGGTCCTGTAGGGGTCTTTCTTGGAGGCTTTATTGGAGGGTTAAACGTCGCATTTGTAAACAGTTTAGGTAATGAAGGCCTTCTACGCATTCTAACACGTTTATTATTTCCAGCTTCTACTTCAGAGTTTCATATGCCGCTAACTCTGAAAGGCTATCATGATATATATGGCGCGCCAAAAATACGCACGTCGAATACGTCACGTACTACATCACAAGTCTCTTTACCATCTCGTCCACCTCGTTGTCGCTCAGCGCCAATCAGGGTAGACTGCACTGTAACCAAGCATTCCGTCCGAAAGCTTCAAAGATGTCGGTCTCGTTCGGCCACTCCAAGGACGAGCCACGGCAGTCTCCCCAATTTAAACGTGCCGAAGTATGAGCCAACCATACCCCCATCAACGTCACTGTTTATGCCAGACGGATATCCTGCTTTTCCTCGTGGGTTTTCGTACTGGTAGTTGGGCAAAAAGTGAATGCTATAAACAAACATTGGGATTCACATAAAATTAAGATATGAGTAGCTTGTTTTCAAGTAGTTTTAAATATACTGTAATTAGAAACATATACAGTATTCAAGTGTATCTTCTGCAAAAAACAAAATTGAATGATCAGCAAAAAAAAAAAGGATCTATAGTTGAGGTTAAATAAGGTTGTGTTCTCAGTTCTCTTTTTTAAGTATTTGTCTTAATGATTTAATTCCTATTTTTTATGAAACATGTGATCCATCTAAAGTATTAATATGCCATTGAACTATCTTTTATATGTTGATGACTTGGTCATTAGTTCAGAGGGCCAGAGAGGTTAGCAAAATGCTCTAAGCAAATTATATACTTATTGTGATAAATGGAAATTGGCTGTTAATTTCGAAAAAAACGGAAGTTACAATATTTAATGAAAGTGGTAAAATTCTACACTACTATACATTTTATTTCGGAAATTATAATATTGAAATTACAAATGAATAAATATTCTGGTATAACCTTCAACCTATCTGGCTGTTTTATTGTAGCAATCATAAATAAACTAAAAGCCCTCAAAAGCTTGTTCAAATTTAGAAATATTTATTATCTACATCTGCCTCCAGGAGTATTTGAACTTTCCAGAAGCCTAAAGCCGGGCACACACTGCGCCCGACGGTTGTCGCGATTCTATGAAGAACGCAACGCGACGACGCGCGCACAACGAATCGTCTTTAATGACGATCTGTTCAGACTGCTACAATCAGCAGACAGCGTTGCGTCGTCTATCACTCACAGGGAGCGGAGCTGGATTCGTCGTACGACCGTTGTACGACGCAGTGAGTGCCCGGCTTAATTCAGCCAATTACCACACTACGGAAGAGAGGTAATGACCACCTTATTTGCTAAGAGATTTAAATGAAAACAATTTTATTGGTCGATGTGATAACTTTCCACGTGAAGCTATTAGTATTAACATTAAACTTACAAATCTATAAGAAAGTATAATACATACTCCAAGTATTGAAATACACGCCATCGTGTTGGGATTCAATATTTCGACATTAATTATGTCATCATCAGGAATTAAAAAATCTATGTAAATAAACAAAGTATCTAACCAGGCTATTAGAAGTGAATAGGGTTCTTATCCAGTGTTAATATCATTGATATATTTTGCTTTAAAATGCTGGTGGAAACTAAATAATATGTACTAGGGCCTATCATGGATATGTCTCACTGGCTGGCTATTGGCACACTTTTAGAAAATAGACAATTTGATGCCCAATACGCAAAAATAACAATTCACTTGGTCCTCTGGAATTATTTTACATTCCATTGAGGCATCGGATACAGATTCTCTATCCTTAATAACAATTTTGAATCACTTATACAGTACACAGAAAAAAAAAACCTGCACAATATCTACAATGACCAATGACATAATCTCATACAAAATAATAAAAACTGAGATATGCTAACCCAAAAACTGAACTCGAATTTAACCTACAATTTGATATGCCAAAAAATGAAAAATTACATTATATTATGGGTGCAAACGAGTTTGATGTAATTAAACCGGTCACGAAATATGTACAATCGGCCTTTGAAAGACGTATAGTTCTTCAGAGTCCGTTGGCTAAAGTGGCGTAGATCATCAATCAAATGGCTTCATATTTACCTTCTACATATTGTACTGTCTTTAGGTAGTCTTCTTGTTGCAGGACAATAATGTAAGCATTACCATCTTGTCTGTACAGCATGCCTCAATATTTTTAAAGAGAACAATGCCTTTTTCACGTTTAAACCATTTCTTCACAATCGTGTGAGAAAATAAAGAATAGCACTGAGATAAGACATGTCATTGAAGGTAACAGTCAGTTTGGCCGGCGAAAATTTAACACACAATTTCATTAAGGGGAGAATCATACCATCATACCACTAGACACACTGTTCTGACACTTTTTCAAACAACTAATAATATACACCATCACAAAGATGGGCTGAGGTAATCTGCAGCATGCAAGTGAGTATGGACAACGCTAAAAGGACAGACGCAAATTCTTTACAAACCTGAACATTTATTTCACCATCATTATTGAAATTCAATCAAAATTTACAAATTCTATTCTGCTTAATATACACATTGGAAAAATAATGTCTACTCACATTTGAATGTGGTATAACCCTAGAAGCATATTTACACTAGGAAATGTATATTTAGTGGAAAAAACTAGGTAATGCAATTGTGCTTACTTTTATTTAAATTTTATAACATTTAATGTAAATTAATCACAATAACAAAATCTATATGTATGCATATCAAGATAAATTTAAAAAAATCACAGAAACATTACTATAATTGCCAGAAGGCTGTCCCTGTATTTCATCAAAACATTTTAAACTTTTTAAAGAAAAAGTCATAGAAGTATCATATCAATTTACTCCAATAATTGTTCTAATGAAAAAATTAATTTTGAATCTAACTTTTCAAAGAAGTAAAATTCCATAGAAAATTATTTTTGTATGAATTAGTAAAATATGTAACAACATTAATAGAAAATGCTAAATATACAATGGCTTGTTGGAGAATTGTAAATAAAATTTACTTACACATATTTTAAAACCACTGGTTACTATTTTTCACACTATAGACTCATGGCATCAATAAAAGTAATCTTGTAATATTACTTTACAGTTTGTAGAGCAATTTGCAAATTATTTTCAACAATATTCCTACCAAAAATGGAGGAGTCGACTAATTGCTCAGCTACCCTTCCCACCTTTTCGGATCTTAATAATCAAGCAATCACCTTCCACAATTCACTACAACAATATATATAGTACTGGTAGTTATATAATTACTGTACTAATTGTTCTTTTTTACTAAGAGTCTAATTTTATATAAAAAATATCAATCACTTAACAACATTACTGCCATTATAATAACTATGATAATCATAACATTATTATTTCCACAACTGTCTTTTCTCTCATTATTTTGCAAGTTTTTAGTATTGAACATTTTAAAATCTTTTGTTAGTAATCTTATTAGCAAATACACCAATAGGTAAAATGAGTATATATATACAATTCATATTTAAAAATTTGTGGAATGTTGCAAATATATCTAAATACAAGCATATGCTGAAAGTTCAAAATTGAAAAATAAAAAATATTTTGAATCAAAACTATGCCAGAACACATTTCAGACCATTGGAATAGATTAAAGCTGGGCATATATTATCACATTTGTGTCTGTCAGAGTCAACAGATAATGATATACAGTATCAGATCTGACCTGTAAGTTTGTTTTAAACTTATCATGATTCTGTCTGCTAGAAGTTGTACAATGCTCTACTATATAGTAAGTTTAAGACACAAAGATCCAATCCAATCCAATCTTCGACTTATAACAGAGTATATAGAGTATGTCATGCATTATTTTCTCTGGTGGTGCATAAAATTTTAAAATAATCTGCCCACTTCATCGGTTTGTATACTCACCAAATGTTTGAAACCAAGTTGACTATATTATTAGTTTATAGACAATGATTTCATAAACCTGGTACAATCAAAACAAGCAATTATATATAAAAATGAACCTGTTTATATATATATATTATAAAGGTTTAACAACATCTTGTAGGTCTGGTTTTATTATAGAATGTTTTAACCAAACAAACAAAATGTGTATTAATGTGGCATATATTTTTAAGGAAACTTATTTTTTTATTTATCTTTATTTTTTCAAAACACTAAACCTTAAAACACAGAATAAACAACAATGTACACAAAATACAATACATAAACACTGACAAACGATCACACTCCTCTAGACAAGACATAGTAAATATGACTAAATCAACAACATAATTTTGCAGCAAAGTAATGTGACCACAATGAATTTTACAATTTTTTTTTCTAACTTTTTTGAATATTCAACATGGCAGATCTTTGCATTGCCAAAGCATTTTGCTGCATTAATTCAAAAACGACCTTTTTGTTCAAATGATGCTTCGATGACAAATGATAAGGCAGTTCAGTTATACTGTAAATACCATTACATACCGGGCAGTGCAAGTCTGCAGATGAAATAGACTGTTTTTCTTGCTGATTTGTCTCAGAATCTGGTTCGTTTGGTTCTGGCTCCGGTATGTCCTCTGATTCAACCTCTTGTTTTTCAGCATTCTTACAGACATGCTTTTGTACTCCATCTAAATCAGTGAATATCAGTTGACATTGTTTGCATGTGTAAGTCTTCTCACATGTAAAGTTGTTTACATACTTGAGGGCGCATGGATGAGAGGATGCTATAAACGTCTCAAGTACTGATGAGGTTTGTTTACAATTAGAGCAAGTGTACGTTTCAGTGTAGTTCTGCAGTAATTTCTTAGAAACAGCTGTCCGTTCCTGTACCTTGTTTGGCCTCTCCTGACAATTATGCATCGAGAATTCTGGCAGGCTGTGGTAAACAATATGGCAGAATGTGCACTGATAAACCTCCTGTCTGTTGTATTTCTGGGAGCTATTATTGATGTCTTTTCTATTATCGTCCAATGAGAAGACGTTCTGCGCTGTTGCAGGAGCAAGGTCGTAAGTGTCTGGTTCATCATCACCATCTCCTTCATCAACTATCAATTCTCCTCTCCATGGAAATTCATCTTCAGTGTCCTGTTCACTATTAGTTATTTCACTTTTAACCGTCAAGTCTGTATCAGTAATTATTTCATCTCCTTCAGATTTGTTGTACTGGTATGCGACTGAGACACCATGTCTTTCTCTTAGATGCTCATGGTAGAGCTCCTGACGTACTTGTATGAAACACACCTGACACTGAATTTTATTAACTTTATTTTTGGAGAAATTACAGAGTCCATGACACTGTCTCACATGCCAACTCAAAGAACCTGAGTTGTTGTAACTTTTTGAACACTTGGTGCACTTGTATGGACGGGAGTTATTATGAATGTTCATATGAGCTTTCAGATGGTAATTATAATGGAAAGACTTTTGACAGAGATGGCATTGATAGTTTCTGATGTTCAAGTGGACTTTAAGATGTCTTCGCATTTTGCATTTATTCCAGTAAGCTCGGGTGCATTTCAAACATTTGAAGACACGATCATTGCCCTGGAGGACAATCGTAAAGTCCTTTCCTTCTACAAACTCCTTTGTTGTTTCCAGCTCTATCATGCTGCTACTGGACATAGCATCAGGGGCACCAGATGCACAGTTTTCGTTTACTTGTGTTTCAGGACCAGGTGTAGCTACAGATACAGGTGTTTTACTGGGTTTTCTTGTTTGAAGCGCTACATAGTACGGAAATCGTGAACTCCTTTCGGGGCGGAATGGCTTAGTTCCATTTGCTTCAGAGTGGCTTTCCTTAGCATTGTCAACTTGTATCACTGTACCATGTTTGTTCCTGAAGAAGACAATTAGATCTGGAGTACCTGCCTTTGGAGATGAATTAACTGTCAGATTTTTTTGCATGATGGTTTTTCCATCTGATTCGTAGGGTACTTGTGCCATTCTATACCAAACTACTCTAAAAGTAAAAATTATTCGATCACGTGTGATATTGCACAACTGGTCTAAAGATGGAATGCCCAGAAGCTGCATAAACTCAGGACAACTCAATGTCAGAAAATCCTCTATCGGCTGCTTTCGACTGTACTCAGAATGTGATAATAGGTGGCGCTTTATTCGTTTGGCACAGGCTTTTGAGAGGTCAAAAAAGCAGAATTTACAGACATCGATACTGTGACATGCGAAAATATGCAATATAAAACCTCGATTTGTACTAACATTAATATGACATCGAAGACAATGCAAAGAATTAGCAAATGGAAACCTTTCCAGCCTGATTTCTTTGATGGATTCTTTAATCAGCCATAGTTTAATTGGACTGTTGTATCCTGAACTTGGGCTCACTTGTTCTAAGTTTGCCATTCTACCTATAGGCACCTGTGTGGAGTCTTGGTTGGACAAACTATCATCAGTATCTGGATCCTGTACAGTATTGGCCTTTCTTAGAAAAATAGATTGCCTGAATTTTATTTGAACTGCAGAGGAATCACTGCTTGAAGGCAGTTGAGTATCAGCATTACTTGTTGGTTTGGCAGTATCATTCTCCACAGATGCACTGCTTGAAGAGTACTCCTTATTCTTCACAAATGTAACATCTTTCACCTGTTCTATTTCTTCATCTAATGTTGTTACCAAATCTCTGGAATATAAATTTAGATCACTTTAAAATTATGCTTTTCCAATAAAATTTATATAATTGTAGAACTGATTAATCTATAATAAATCAAGCATAATTTGATGAAACTATTCAAATATTTATGAAATTTATATACGTGGCACAAACAACAGTGTGTCAAAAAAAACCCGTAGTTGCCGTAAATTTAATGTTTACACAGTAAAATGTATTTTTTTGAAAACATCATTTGAAATTCTACTTACCTACTGTTTCTTTCTGGACTAGTATTGACATCAAGTGTTGCCTTTGAAACATCCTCAGATTTTCTTTGTTGTAATGTACCTTCAAGAGATTGATTCACAGATGATGAAAACTCTCTTAGAGGTTTCTCACCAACAAGGATCTCAATCCAAACCTCATCACCTTCCTTTTTCACTTGCCTTACAATAAGATCATCTTGGAACATGTTTTGATGAAAGGCTGCTTCGACAAGAGCATAATGCACCACAAGTTCATCTAGAATGAATTTCTTTTGGGTGATGCAGCTTAACCCATCCAGCTGAGAGACTCCAATAGTTTGACTGAGATCCTTAAGACTTTGACAGACATTCTGTTCAAGTTCATAGGAATCAATATCATGGACATCTTTCATATGGATTAGAATGTCTTCACTAATTCTAAGTGGTTCAGCAGTAAAAGAGCAAATTTTACAGACCAAGTTGCAATGGTCATTGAACAGGTGACTGATAAGGCCAATATTACTCAATGCATTGAGACCACACTTAAAACACAAAGGTCGTGGCTTACTAAGACTTCTAGCAGATTGAACCTTCAATGTTGATGTTTGTTGGTTGTTGGTTTGCTGATCTTCTTGTGGACCAGAGTCTGGCAAAGCAGAGTTTGTCAATTCTCCTGGCGATAATGCACCAACTGAATTTAGTGTGCCTCCTTTCTGGATCACCATCTTAGAATTCAAAATCTGTCTGACTGTCTGTGAACTTGGAAACATGGGCAGATTTGTGGGTGTTTTCACTGGTGACTGTATCGATGTGAATATTGCAGGTCTTTGAAGGAGAGACGCACTTGTTGTAGGATGAGAACCGATCAAGGCAGATGTAGACTGCTGTTGACATTGATCAACAACAATTTCGTTTTGATAGCTAGAGGTACATGACGGAATTTTTGGTTTTAATGTTGGCAGCTGTCTGCCACTGACTCTATATGTGAAACTTATGGTCTGTGGCTGAGGTATTCCAAGACTCCTCAAACCTTCAACTCCAGCAATACTTTGGAAATTTTGATAACAACCATCCATCAATTTTGACAGAGTGTCATACTTTTCTGGATGCTCAGTCATTATGTGCTTAAGTTGTTTCTTTTGTGATTGTCCAAAATCTTCGTTGCAAGTAATCACTGGACATGTATGAGTGGGATGCTGGATTCCAATCTGCTTCAGAACTCGGCAGACAGAACTCAATGGATGGCTCCTTTTGATCATATGGTTTTTCAACATTAACACATCAAAGAAAACAGTCAGTGATGGGCATATTGGACATTTATAGTAGTTCGTATCATTAAAGCAGAATTTTGAACTATCTTTGGGTGATGACTGCATTGTGGGAGATGACCGAGATGTGAAAGACGAAGATGGCTTTGGCTTTATTGACACTGGAATCTTTTTAGAAGACACTTTCACGGTCATTTTCATTTTAGACACATTAACTTGGTTAGAAACTGGAAACATGTCTATAGAATCCTCTTTTATGGATGTTTGTATTTCTGAAGATGCTTTCGTGCGGTAGAACGTATGCCATTTGCCTTTTAGTTGAACTGTCAGGCTGTATTTATCCTCATCAGCTGTTTCATTCTGCTGACAAAAAACATTAATTTGGCATAATTTCCTTAAAGAAACAAAGGTATCAATATGTTCAAGAATTAGGTGTTTACAAAAGTCTTCCATGCTTCCCTTGACAGGTATCTGACAAGTCTCAACAGGACAAAAGTTTTCTTTTGACTTTAGTAAGTCTTGCAAAAGATCCTGAGCTTCTGGGGAGATCTTATCTGCCTCTTTGTGAAAAGGTTCCTGCAGATGTTTTTGTAACCAGAATTTATGTAAAAACACTTGTTGGGAACTGCATAGTGGACAATGAAAAACCCAAAACTTAAATTTATGTAGTAGAAATTTCTCAAGGTTTGAGGAATTTCGTATTTTGAGTGGAAATTCATAGTAGCAGTCACTGATAGGCTGTTCTCCCTCAATACTGTCAATGTCATCCTCTTTTTTTATGTCAAAGCAATTCAAGTTACAAATATCTAGTGTTTCCGATGCTGAACTTTCATCCTTTTGGAAATCTGGTATTGTAGCATCATCCCACTGGTTGATAACTTCATATCCTTGGTCTTCTACTTCCTCTTTAACTTCCATTATTAAAGACATTCCATCACCGATATCGCTCAATTTGAGACCACCATCTTGGTCCCCATTGGAGATGAATTCAACTGCAGATTCAGAACCTTCGTTATTTGCTCTCCTTTCCTCTGCCTCTTGTATGGATACATGTTCAGAAGGGTCTTCCTCTGGTTCAACTTCTGAAAACAGCAGTACACGCTCATACTCTGGATCTGTCTCTTATACACATCTAGATGTGTATAAGAGACAGGATACTGTGACATGCGAAAATATGCAATATAAAACCCACCCCATTTCAAGACTTCTAGATACGCCACTGTTGAGTACACATACAAAGCTCTGTGTTTTTAGAACATCGAATACATTGAAGTTAGTGCTCTAGTATTCTTCTTATAACTCTATGGTTCCTACTTTTATACAGTACAGTAATAATAACAATAATAATAATAATAATAATGATGATGATAATATTAATAATTATACTGTATCATACAGTAATAATAATGTTACATTTATACAACACATAACAGTAGAAAAAATATACAGCTTTTTTTTGTCTAAAAACTCTTTTATAGTACAGTAGAACCCCTCATTTACGTATGGCATGGGCCCAGAGCCGTTCGTAAATGCGGGTATTCGTAAAATCGGGGTTGACCCAAATTCCTATATATTTACACTGGTACTAATTACACCGGTATAAACTAGGCCTAGACTAGGCCTACAGGCCTACGCAGCTAAGTCTGAGGGGGCCTAGGCCTACAGTATGCAGCTTCTAAGCATTCTGATCCCACTCTAGACCCTACAAAAATTCGTTATTATCGGACATTTTTACCTTCTTAAATACCTAGATTGTGGATTTTACTCCAACACAACTTCCATAGATACTTGTTTATTATATATATTGATCATTCAATAAAACAATCAAGCACTATGTTTACTTTTAAAGCTAAAAATGATGTTTGAAAGAGAAGTAAAATTTGTCGCATGCACATGTGTGAAGCCATTAAAAAAACACTGACTTTCAAGAGGCCCGTTAGAGGGCCTCCTTCACTTCAGAATTACATAGTATTGTATAGTATGGTGTGTTGTGTTGTATGCATTCTAATAACAGTTACAATTCGAGCGGATTTTTTGTTTTTTGTAATCTTTCACTTAAATTTTTATGATGTCATCACCTTTATTTTACATTCGTTAAATCGGGAATTCGTTAAATCGGGGTTTGTAAATGAGGGTTTCTACTGTACTCTAGTTTTATTTTTAAAAATATCAGAATTAATCTGCTGCCCTCTATAGGAAAATGGTCAGTTTCTAATTTCTAAATACAGTAAGCCTATTAACTTATAAAACTTTTGTTTTTAATTACTAAGATTACATTTTTATCTAATTACTAGTCATTATCAGTACAGTATATGTTTTCCCATTCATTTTAACAACATAATGTCATCATGAATGTAATATTTTCCCAATATTATGAAAAAAACCCATTGCCTACTTTTTGTTTAAAAAATAAGTATTTCCAAAAATTGAAATGTCAATACTTGTTGAATTTTTCCATCTCATTTTCCTATAGCTATTAATTCCCTCACTCTCTTTCTTCACTTTATTTTTTATTTGATTGATTGGGTCCACATGCTGAAGTGTAGCTACTGTAATCAGCAGTAGAGCAGGCACCCCCACCCCCTCCAGATAAAGTGCCTTACTCAATGACACAAGTGAATTGCACAGCTAGAGATTGAAAACCATTCCCATTGCTCAAAACCACTTTTACACAACTTCTCTTCAAGTTTCTACATCTATTCATTTAACCTTCAACTCTTCATCTTTCATCTCTGCTTCTCTTTATCTTCAGCCTCTTAGGTTTTTTCTCTCTTTTTGCTACCAATACAAGAGAAATACCAATTTCTGTATGCCTACCAAATTATAAATTGTAAAAGTGGTTAAAACTCACTTCCGTTGCTGATGGTAGCAAATTGGTCAGTGTCTTCAGACTCTGCCGCCACCTTTTTCTTCGCTTGATGTTTATGTGCTGAGTGTGCAGACTTGCGTTTTCGTGGTCTTTTAACTTTTAGTACCTGGAAGAATAAATTTACAATAACAAATAATCACATAATCATGTCCAATGGTTAATTAAGAAACAAGATACTTTGTTTTACACTAGCATGGTATAAATACATAATGCAGATAGAACACAAGTGCAAATAACTTCAAACACTACAGTACAATCATTCATATGTAGTGGACAGACAACTGTGGTATATTATAAGCAACAATTTGATTTGATTTATTGAATTTTGGAACACAAAAATTTCAGGATAAAACATAAAAGGAGACAAAAGCAATTTCAATCACTGTTCTTAAGTTAACAATACATAAAAAATGAAGTAAAATTAAAATATAATTTATACTATCAACACAATATTTATGTACAATAATAGCTTTATAATAAAAATACTAATTAAAATTTAAATAGTAGAAAATGAAGATAAAAGTATTTAAATAGTCTCCCATGTTAAAATAAAACATTTAATTTAACAGGTGTTAAATATTTTATCAACTTGAAGTTGTAAATAACAAACTTTATATGTTTTGCTCAACACTATCAAGGACCTATTTTATATTATAAGCCATGAATATAGTACTTTATTTTTCAAGTATATCAACTCATAAACATTATATTTATTAAGCATTATGCAGTTTATAGGTTTCTTTCCCATGACAATCTAAATGAATCTTTGGTTTATGAACAATCTGTGTGTGGATAGACACAGCCATGTACACACCACATAATCACAGGATAACGCAACATATTGCATAATTTTTGCAGCTTAAAATGATAAAATATTGTTTTGATTTATGTACATGGCGTCTGTATGGCGCCTCATTTTGGAAAATGTAGGTGCCAATGTTGATGTTCAATATACACACAGCTCTCTGTGTAGATTATCCGGATCTTGTTAATAGGGTTTCACTTATATATTTACATTACTACATAAATATGTGTACACTTCCAAACAGCTATTACCATATTTGCATTAGAAAGCTGCGATAAGCATATGAAACATTTAAATGAACATATTAATACCAGTCTGCGTGTGTATATGTTTATTTGCTTTATGTACCGTAAGGATGCAAAATATTTATGAAAATTTGAGATGGTTCCTTCTTTTAATAGAATTTTAAATTTTGTGAATTTTTTATTTTTATAAATGATATAAAGATTTGCTTTTGCACTGCCATTACCATAATAGCTTAATTTAAAAATTTGTCTTTTATATAATTATAAAAAAATATTTTAAAAAGTTTAAATTTTTGTCAAGGCCCTAAAAAAAAAATGTGTGGACACTGTGTCTAGGGCATTAAAAATTTGGGTTTCCTAATATCTGGGTCCAAGGACCCTGATGCTGCCCTCAATATCAACTTTAGCATGACACCACTGAGTGACTAAGAATAGATGAGAGCAAGATAAAGTAGATGACCATGAAGACATTGAGGATGGTCAGGAAACTGACAATGATAATTATAATAATAGTGTTTATAATTACTTAAGGAAAAGCAGTTTATATTTTTTTCATGAGAAAGAATTATTATATTGTCCAGAACTTAGGACTTGATGAATGAATATTGGGCACCTTTCAAAAGTATCTGTAGGCTGGAGATATTTTATATCAGGTAAGGCGAAATAAAATTAATTCACATCCGGGATTTTAAATTATTTTTTGGTGAGGGCATTTACTATCTACTGTCCTATATACTAATGGTAAACAGTCTGGTAAATAGTAAAAAATTTTTTTTTTTAAATAAAAGAAGTAAAATGAATCTGTAATGTATTTCTGCCATTTATGTTCCCATCTCTTCTTATGCTTGACATCATTTATTCAGATAGTAATTATGTTTATTGTCATGGAAAAATTAATGTTTTTTTCAAAAATAGCAAATAGTAAATTTTTTCATGAGCCTCCAAAATTTGATAAGATTTGATAGAATGAAGATTATTAATTAGTTCTTTGAAAAAGTAGACTCAAATTTTAGGGGTCTCAGAATTAGAAGGATCTCGAATTAAAGGGTGCACAGTATTTATTTTGTAATCAAAATTCTCATTTAAAAGAGTTGCTATGTTTTTTGAATGCTGCGTTCACATCGCGAACGAAACACGTTTATTCGGGTTAAGTATGTGTGCGTTTGATTGGTTCGAACCAACCAACCAAGCTTGTTGCCGATTGGTCCAAGAGAAAAAAACGTATGATTTTATGAATCAAATGGCTTTCAGATCCATCGGTCCGGATCCGGAATCGAAATCGTACGAATTTGATGTAAACGGTCCTATTCTTTACCACTAAATCCATTTTTCACGATTTCTTCTCCCGGCACCGGACGGGATCCGGGCTTCGATGTGAACGTAGCTTTAAGCTCCATTCACACTATCACATTTAATGGCACAAATGTGTGTGATGTGCCCATACATATCGTTGCTCACATCACGAACTAACATCAATCAAAGTAGATTGTGTTGTGATTTGTGAAATCAGAGTAGCGCGTCAAAACGAGCGCATATTGGTTGTCAAGAAATTTTGTATTCTTTACCACACAAAAAGTCCTTAACAACAACAGCGCGTATTTTGACGCGCTTTATTGATTTCACAAACTAACACAATCTACTTCGATTGTGTTAGTTCATGATGTCAGCGATGATAAGGCCATGATGTGACCATATATGGCCATCATGTGACCATATATGGCCATGATGTGACCATATATGGCCATCATGTTGTCATATTACATTCAAATATGGACACATTACATAATGTATTAAAAAATGGAACCGGTAAAATTTTGCCCAGGCTCAGTGTTCTTATTTTTTATTGCTGAATCCGGCTCAAAATTTTATTACTTCGTTCTTATTTTTACACACTTTTCAAACATAGAAAATTATTATTTTACAACAGTAGATTACTAACTGCATTATGAGGGTATTATTACATAGTCCCATGGTCACACCTACTGCAAATATGGTACAAATAAAATTTATTTTTTTCTATTTAAAAAAAGAAAAACCTCATTTGACATTTCACATCAGCCTCAATTTGTTCTTATTTTGTTCTTAATTTTTAAGCAATTTCATCCTCAGTATTCTTATAAAATGTGTTCTTATAAAAAAAAAAAAAGTGTACGAATACAGTACACAAGAACATATAGTATTTTGATAATTTTGTTCTAGGGTATTATCAATCAAAAATTATTTTTATTTACTCTATTTTTATATGTAAAGAAATAAGACAAAAAAAATCATTGACATCTGTAGCAACTCTACAATGCAATAATCATTATTCAAATCACAATAGGCTACTGTATTCCATTGCGATATTCAATTTTTTACAATACTCATGCATTTAACCACAAAAAGCAAACTTCCAAGTTCATGGATTTACTTTATATTTTTGGTAATACTTGGAGGAGATGTAACTAAATATATTTTAACCTTTTGGCCTTATTTTAAAAGTGGTAAATGTATCCTAAAACTTGTAGTACACTACTTTGTTTAAATAAAAAATAATAAAAGTTTTTATTTTAAAGAAAACTCTGTTAGTGTTACACTAGCTAACTATTAAAAAACACCCCCAATTTACAACAATTTATGAGTTCTAAAAGAAAATTAAGATAACAGAATAAATCTTTCAACAAAACCACAAAAAACTATCTTAATAATTGTTTCCATAAATCCAAAACCTTAAGGAGCGATCATAAATTAAAATTGTTATAAATTCCTCGATAAACATTGCCAACTAGCATTAAGATTTACATGTAGAAAAACTAAAACAAAGAAAATTTTACATTTTGATACAAGTGACTCAGGAACAAGTGCAATTCAATCTAATGCACAGTCACATGTGACCTCTGAGAGGTAGAGATACCAGGTGTGTGAATTTATAGGTAGCACCTGTGTAAGAGATGAACTGAAGACTACACCAGTAAAATTTTCAATATGCAACCCTTTGATCTGTGTTATTAATAGATACATCTGTGTCTTGTTGAGTGGATATACTACTACAGACTAACACTTTCACTTGGCCGGTACACAGGAGAGCATTCACAAACACCACAATGTTCACCTACAATCATGAGTTTTACGTGGTATTCAGACAATACAGAATACGCTTGTCTGTTTTTCCACCTTGCAAATTCTATGTTCTGCATCATATCACCTTCATATTGTTATATTAAACAATATTTTGTTTTAAGCACATTAGACATTATGTTAAGAAAGTGCACTTGGTGAGATCGATTTCATGCAAACATAAACAGCTCAGCTGTTTGCATGCAAAACTGGAACCTCAGCTGTATGAATGTGAGGCTGATAATTAAGCTGATTGCATGTGAGGTTAGTAACTCAGCTCCAC